ACGTTATGTGCTTGATAAGTAACACAATCAGAATTCAGATCATTTGACATGTTACATACCCCAAAATGAGACTCAGGCAGCGAGTACTGATGAAATGCCGGTCGGCTTTTATTGAAAGAATTCTTCCCACCCCGACCTCCTCTGCCATAGGGAGGTCGGCGGTGGGTGCGTTGGTCCCGCGAGCCTCCCGTGTGTCTGTCTGGACCCGGGGCCTCGTCGAGGGGGGACCATAGGTCATGGAGCGTGGATATGGGCCAGGGAACCTCCCGGGCGAACGCTCCCGCCTCTGTCTCGGCTCCGCGCTGGTGGGCGCGCCTCGCGCCTCGGCGCTAGGTGCTGGGCTAGGCTAGCCGAGTCCTTGGCTGCGGTCTCCAGTCTAGCCACCAGGGTCTGCATCTCCGGACCGAAAGGGGACGTCTGGGAGATAGGCAGGTCCAGCAGCTGCCTCCTCTCCGCCTCCCTGATATTAGCCAGCCCAAGCCAAGGTGCCTGGCCCCGACTTGGGCTGCTGCCATGGAGCGGCCACCATCCACAGCTAGCGTCTGGCACATGCGCAGAGTCCCCGCCGAGGTGGTCCTCGCCTGTGACAGGAGGTCTCCACTGAGCGCCTGGCCAAAAGAGAGCGACATATCCAGGGCCCCCGTGATGAATGCCATGTTGTTAGTCAATGCGAGGACCTGTGCTGCATTGGCATAACATCTATCCAGCATCACCAAGACATCCTGTCCCGCTCGGAGGGAAGGAGAGGTCTGGTGCCGGGCCACACGGATGCGGAGGGCTGCAGGGCCATGCGGACTGAATCCTCGGTGTCCGGGCCACCCTCCACTGCTAGCGTCTGGCACATGCGCAGGATCACCGCCGAGGTGGTCCTCGCCTGTGACAGGAGGTCTCCACTGAGCGCCTGGCCAGAGGAGAGCGACCTATCCAGGGCCCCCGTGATGAAAGTCATGTTGTTAGCCAATGTGACGACCTGTGCCGCATTGGCATAACATCTATCCAGCATCGCCAAGACATCCTGTCCCGCTCGGAGGGAAGGAGAGGTCTGGTGCCGGGCCACACGGATGCGGAGGGCTGCAGGGCCATGCGGACTGACTCCTCGATGTCCGGGACCCCACCGGTCCAGGACCAGTCCTGCCCGCTGCAGTACATGTCGTACCCCAGAGCAGGCCTCTTGGCTGCTAGGGGCTTAGGCCACTCACGTGTCGCGTAATGGACGAAAGGGTCCGTCCGCGGGCACAACGTGGGTTGCATCCTCCTCCTTCCTCGAGTGGTGGCACCCACAGAGGTGAAGTCCTCCACCGTCTGGATCCAGCGACGACGTCCGACGCCGGAGGGCGAAGGGAACTCGGACGCACAAGGAAGACATCTCAGAATGAAGTAAGTACTGTGGTAGATCTCAAACGGCGCCAGAGTGAAAGAGGGGGTGCGGCCTTGTGCAGGGGCATTTATAGAGGAGGGTGGCTGGTGATTGGAGCAAATTATTTTGATCTCTCTGGCGTGTGACCTGGGGGTCACGAGTGATATCCCACAAGCGAAGTCCTAAGGGACGTAGCACCATGACGTAGAACTTGGACTGTGTGCGTGCGTAAACAGATTTGTGTGTGTGTAATTTTACATTTGTATCTGTAGCAGAACAATCTATGTGTAAATAACCGCGTTGTACGAAGAGAAGAACGGAAAAAAGCCTAAGTGCTACGCACAGGCTCTGTTTTACACACAAATCTCTTTTTGACACACCTCTGCCGCCAAGCGTGTGTCAAAAAGATTTGTAAGTGTAATGTGGTTGTTCTAGCAGTACACCAGCAGATGGTGCTGTTGTAGCTGGTTATTACCTACACGCAAGCAAACCAGCTGAATTTATGGCACTAAAGTGTAGATAGAGAAAACCGAAGGATTTAAGAAGAAGAAAAGTTCAGGATGACAAGGAACACTAAAATTCCCACAAAATCCGACCTTAATGAAAGCTGTAGGTTATCTGTCAGCTGTTTTAGTTTACTTTGAGTTCTATGGGGAAAATTTCTGTGTAGCCCACGTGAATTTAGTCTGCAGTACGAGAATCCTTCAGCTCCAAGCTAGTAACACCCTATCCAGTTATTATAATAGATCCATGTATAATACAGTGGTGTGAATGACAGGATTTTGAAAATAGGAAAAAAATATCATAAACAGCTGCGGTAGTATGTCTTGTCAAGGCAGTGACAAGACATACTAAGTTTTGGTTTGCTTGCGTGTAGGTAATAACCAGCTACAACAGCACCATCTGCTGGTGTACTGCTAGAACAACCACATTACACTTACGAATCTTTTTGACACACGCTTGGCGGCAGAGGTGTGTCAAAAAGAGATTTGTGTGTAAAACAGAGCCTGTGCGTAGCACTTAGGCTTTTTTCCGTTCTTCTCTTTGTACAATGCGGTTATTTACACACAGATTGTTCTGCTACAGATACAAATGTCAAATTACACACACACAAATCTGTTTACGCACGCACACAGTCCAAGTTACACTTGCAAATCTGCGAAGGCAGGACTGCGTCAAAAGATTCGTGTGTAAAAATAAAACTTGAGTGTAAAACGTACTTTTTTTTTTCTTTACACACACACAAATCTGGTTATGCACGCACAAATCTGGTTACGCACACACAAATCTGGTTACGCACGCACAAATCTGGTTACCCACGCACAAATCTTTTTACGCACACACAAATATTATTGAAACAATAATAGCGCCATCCTATGAATACTGCAGACTACCACCTCAGACTCACAGCTGCGCAGCCGCACGTACCGTGGTCGGTCCAAGAGGTAGTCTATGGTCCATGCAGTGAGGTTACTGTCAGACCTCCGCGTCCTCCATCTTCCCCCGCAGCCCAATGATGCCCAATGATCCTATATAGTACTTGAAAGCTCTAGGAAGTTATAGTAGTCCCTGGGACTGCCCAGGGATCCGAGTTCTAAAATTGATACAAAGACACATCATCAGTAGTGAACCCTGTTACTCCCAGGTACTCAACCCAGACACCTTCAATTGAGGTTATACCTGAGGCAACGCCTCTCTGCATCACAACAGAGAGGGCCGTTTACGGTTAACTTTACTTCATGATAAGGGATCAAATTTCACACCAAGATTCTGTAAGTGAAGTTGACGTTGCTATTCTTCTCCTCCTCTCAAGGATACTCTGTAACTTTTTATCTTTTTTTTTAAATTTTATTTTAGAAGCAAACATGATAGCCAGTCTTCTACTTGCTCCATGGCTGAGGTTAGAAGCTGCCTTTTTAACGCTCCTGCGTGAGTATAAATTACAGCATAATTTGACCACAGAGTCATTGAAGGTCTTCAGGAGTGGCCCCTGCACTCCAAATGACCTGAGCCTCCACAGCAGGTAGATGGCTTTGGTCCATCTTGAAGAGGTCTGTATTATGTGTCTGTGTTATGTTTCCAGTCCATCCTTCGGTGATGAGTCCTAGTGGTGGGGAAAAAAAATATTCTGTTCAGTGTTGTCATATTGTGTGCAGGCAATTAAATTGATACAGTAGAGCAAATATTGCAATATTTAATCTGTTACGCGCCCAGGTATGGGATTGCGTGCACTCCTACCCTTGCTCTAACCATTCTTGTGTGCAGGGTTGGATTGGCTGAGTCTCTGCGCTGGGACTTTAAGAGGGGCGTCCCAGACAGCACTCGCTCTCTCTCCGGTTGCAGACACCTGGACCTGTCCAAAGGGTCTGGGCCTGCACTCCACGCCGCCAGCCATGCCGCTCTACACTTTTACACACGCACCCATTTACATATAAGGTTATCATACTGATACTCTTTCGCACACACGCACCACAGCACATCCCAGACCATTTACACTGATTACATATTATTGTTTCAATGAAACGGCCAGTGAGCCTTAAAAGTCTATGCCGTGTCCTCCCTCCTTTTTGTTGCCTCCCCGTGAACCAAGGGGAACGTAACATAATCAAATAATAATCTGTTTAACTTTCATGTTTACTTATGTCTGAAGTCTGCAGTGTAGAGGATGAAGAGGAGCAGCACAGGACCTCAGATCCGGGCTCTCAAAATCTGGGATCTGTCTGTGAGATAGTCCAGGATCCACTCAGCAAGGTCACAGTCCACTCCAGTTTCCAACTTTTCCCTGGGTAGTTGCGGCTGTATAGTGTTGAAAAGCTGGAGTAGTGAAAGCACAGAATTCTCACAGCTGTGCCAAGCTTCCAATTCCAATGGCAGGTTGGTTGGCAATCTGCAGTGAGTCCATCATTAAGATCATCGTGGAGTGCAGTCTCTCATGTCTTCATGAAGTGGGATGTCAGAGCCACCAGCATCAAGTATCTAAGGTCTTTGGCTCGTGGTGTCTTGAGCACTGGTACCACACAGGAGGTCATAGGTGTGGTACTAAAATCACAATTCAATAGCACAAAAGATATAGCTTGAAAATACAGAAATCAATTTACTGCAATCAGTGTCCGGTAATTTACCAAAACCAACTCCAACTGAATCATATTGATAATGGGCCACAATCCAAAATAATGCTCTATTTATTCTAGTTCAGCATTTAAGTCATTCTATGTTTGATTTGGAAAGTAGTCATAATAGAGATGCTTATAGTTCCTTCAATTCCTGCAGGGGGATCAAGTCAGAGCAGATAGTTCCACAAGTCTGTCTAAAGGTTGATTTGGTTTCTTTATTTGGGGGTTCAATGTGTCAATGTTAAATGAGCTACATTAGCATGTAACTCATGCAGCTGCAGTACTGCAGGTAATCCACCACCATGCCAGGGCCTAACTTAAGCCAGCATTACCCTTTCCAGATCCACCAACATAACAGTGTGCATTGGTGCTGCTAGATGATGTGTGTTCAGGTGTTGGCGTTCACAAGTGGTCTAAGTAGGTAAGGGTCTTATGCCCATAGGATTAAAAAAAAAAAGATTATTTTAATACAATGTTGCAAACATGTTCAGGGCTGATCATAAGGAAGGACAGCTTAGCTTTCGAGCCAAATGGAAGAGGAAGAACAGTTCGCTGTAAGATGCATCCAGCAGCCAACTGCTCTTTTGGCAACTGCTCTCCGAGGGGTGGCGATGTGGGGCCGCTATTCTTGTGAGTCACAGGAACTCTTGACTCCTGATGTTTATGTTGCAACATTATCTTTGTAAATCCAGATATGAGGCCCCAACTGACCAATCAGGCCCTCTATCATAGATAGATGCACAAGTGAGATGCACTGGTGCCTCCTGATTGACACTGATTGGTAACTTGCTGCCAGACAAATTTGTATTTGCTCAAATAGCCTATTCGAGCTTGCTCTATCTGCCTCTTCCGCATTACACCATGGGTCACGTCAGCACTTGGTCAGTCTACTCCTAATTTATACAGCATACAAACATTTTATAGAATATGACTTAATATGTAGTCTGTTCATTGCTAATCACCCGTTGTCCCATTGTCAGTTTCATGGCGTTCTTCTTCAACCTGTGACTGTAGACCAGTTGTGGCCTGTGGCCCAGACTCGTGAGTTGCTGACCCTTATTGAAAAGCTATGACCACTGCTTTTGTCGTTTAGCATTGTTTGCGTCTTCACCAATTGATCTCAAAACAGTTCATCTTTAAGTGAGCCAAATTTACAGGGGTGGGCCAGACGGCAGAGATCAGTGACGTAGTGCTGGGCAGCTGGCTGTTGTTTACGTTGGCAAAATATGATCCTTTGGACAAAAACACGCTGTGGTACTGCAAAAGGTGCAACTCGTAGAGAAAGCAATGTATGAGCGGAACTAGAAGTAAAAATGTTAGCTCCATCCTCATCATCAGTGTCAGATAGAGGGAAAATAAACTAGGAGTTTCCTAGTATAACTATCACACACCTAACTTCTGCGCAGTGTATGCATACACTCCACACACACAGCAACACGCATAGAAACCATAGACTGTATAAGGTCCCTCACGTACCACACAGCATACACTGACTACAGAATCCTGCAGCGCCATCTTGAGGTACCAACATCCAATACACATTACTCCAAGAGCAGTCAATTTGATGGCATTAAGTTTTGGATGTGTAATAACTTAGGTTAAAGTAAATTTTTGTACACAATTTAATGGCCAGAGATCATATAGTTTTTTCCACACTGATTAGACCTCAACATGGTGGTATCATGCAGAGGAGCCCTCTGCACTGGGAGTGGCGGTCTGCTGTGGCTGTGGGGGTCTGGCTTTTGGATCTGGTAGGGGCCTGGGGTCTCCTCTCTCCTCCGGGTCCTACGAGGACCTGGTGGGAGGTCTGGGGCCTCCTCTCTTCTCTGAGTCCTGTGTCGTCCCCTGTGGTTGCAAGCAGCTCTCTGTTCCTGGTGCGGATGGCTCCCTGGATGGTGCTTCTTCAGCTGGATACATCCGCACCCAGCCCTATATATTTTCATAGTTTTACCTATTTTACCTGTCTGTTGTGATTTTATATGTCTCTGTGTGTGTGTGTGTGTGTCCGTGCGTGCGTGCGTACCGGTATATGCATCTCAATGTATATCTATTAAATAGGGTGGTTTATTGGTGGGTCTTTGGGGTTTATTGGGCATGTTATATTGATTTTGACTCAGCTGTAAAGCACTTTGTGTTGCATTTTATTGTATGAAAAGCGCTTTATAAATAAAGTTTGATTGATTGATTGATCATGCAAAATACCCAAATGTGTAGGCACCCTAACAGGTGGGAAAACAGAAAAAGCAGATCAAAATAAAAAAACTGACAGAAAGAACACAACCAAGGTATTGACAACTGGACACTTCTTCCGGATGTTATCCCTTCACAAAACAGAAAAGTTGGAAGTTGGAGCACTCAAACAGCTGAGCATGAAATAATAATTAATAGGAAACAGTTTAACAGTCTTCAACCCATAGTTTGACGGCCATCAGCAGCTTATTATCCTAAGGAATTTAGAAAGAATCTGGTAGATATTTCAGAACTGGTAATATTTTTCTAGAACGGACACACAACTCAACTCAAAAACTTTCTTGTCCCCAAGGGGAAAATTGTTTGCATGTGAAGCTATTTATGTATTTATTTGATACCATAGACAAGTTTGCACTATCAACATTTGACACAGCATTTATAGCCATTGCTATTTTACCATAACCAGGGGTACTTGGGTTAGGATTCACGAACAAAATGATTCCTGCTTTTTTTTAAACGCAAAGGGTGGCTTACAAAAGTATCCAGCCCCAATTCATCTGAGTGCAACCAATTCCCCGAAGTTGCCTTATAATAGGTTGCGTTCATGTGACATCACAAGATTCCAAAGAGCATATAGTTTAAAATTGTGGTGGAGGGCAAGCGCTTTCCTGGAATGTGTTACAGTCAAATGTCAGATTTCTAGTCTTAGTTTCGAGAAAATTTATGTTATTCCTTTGTCAATCCACTTGAACATTATCTTTGTCATTGTCCAGAAGTGATAACATTATCCAAAGAAGCATAAGCTTGAAAGGACTTCTAGACATAAGAATAATGTGGCAGGTTTGTGAAATACTATCAAATAATGATCTGGGAAAACATTTGGAAACTATACTTTTCAACATTTTCCATTGAGTTGTATTGTCTCTGACATACAGTTCACAATTCTAGAACATGCAACCTATGGATTAATAAATGTTGACATAATTATAGAGTCCACAAGAGGAATCTTATCTTGGTATAAATACACTGATGGTCTCAGAAATTTGATAACTTTGTTGAAAATATTGATAACTCAACTCATATCAGACATGTCAGGAATAAAGTTTAGGAGAAGGGTTGGAAAGCATGATTAGGTTTCAGGCTTACAAATGAATTATGTTTAAGTGGATATTTCACTTGATGGTGTAAAAATTAAACAAGTGAATGAAATTAGATTCTTAGGAGCTACAGTGAGGAAAAACAAATATTTAGTCAGCCACCAGTTGCGCAAATTCTACCCTTAAAAAGATGAGGGAGGCCTGTAATTTTTATCATAGGTAAACCTCAATTATAAGAGACAGAATGAGAAAAAAATATTTGGCTCTTACCTTCCTCTTTAAGAGGCTCCTCTGTCCTCCACTCGTTATCAGTATGAAAGACATCCGTCCCCAACCTCAAACACTCACACTCCAAACTCCACTACGGCCAAGGCCGAAGAGCTGTCAAAGGACACCAGAAACAAAATTTTAGACCTGCACCAGGCTGGGAAGACTGAATCTGCAATAGTTAAACAGCTTTGTGTGAAGAAATTAACTGTAGGAGCAATTAGTTAGAAAATGGAAGACATACAAGACCACTGATAATCCCCCTCGATCTGGGGCTCCACACAAGATCTCACCCCGTGGGGTCAAAATGGTCAAGAACGGTGAGCAAATCCCAGAACCACATGGGGGGACCTAGTGAATGACCTGAAGAGAGCTGAGACCAAAGTTACAAATGCCACCATCAGAAACACACTACACGGCCAGGGACTCCTGCAGTGCCAGACATCTCCCGATGCTTAAGCCAGTACATGACTAGGCCCGTCTGAAGTTTGTTAGAGAGCATTTGGATGATCCAAAGGAGGATTGGGAGAATGCCACATGGTCAGATGAAACCAAAACAAGAACTTTTTGGTAAAAACTCAACTCGTCGTGTTTGGAGGAGAGTTGCACCCAAAAGAACACCATATCTACTGTGAAGCATGGGGGTGGAAACATCATGCTTTGGGGCTGTTTTTCTGCAAAGGGACCAGGACAACTGATCTGTGTAAAGGAAATAAGGAATGGGAGAATTTATCATGAGATTTTGAATGAAAACCTTCTTCCATCAGCAAGGACATTGAAGATGAAACGTGGCTAGGTCTTTCAATGATCCCACACACACCGCCCGGGCAATAGAGAAGTGGCTTTGTAAGAATAATTTCAAGGGCTCAACCCCAAAGAAAATCTTTGGACGGAGTTGAAACTCTGTGTTGCCCAGTGACAGACCACCCCAAAAAATTCTCTGAAAGAGCCTTGCATGGAGGAATGGGCCAAAATACCAGCAACAGTGTGGGAAAAATGTGTGACTTACAGAAAACATTTGACCTCTGTCATTGGCAACAAAATAGTATACAAAAAGTATTATTGAGGTGGACTTTTGTATTGAACAAATACTTATTTTCCACCATAATTTTCAAAAATAGGTATTCAAAATATCAGACAATGTGATTGTCTGGATTTGTTTATTATTTTTTCTTTCAGAGTTGAGGTATAACTGTGATGAAATTAACTGGCATCTCTTATCTCTTGAAGTGGGAGGAATTTGTGGCTGACTAAATACTTTTTTGACCCACTGTAAGAGGGTCAAAAACTTTCCAAAATTACATATTTTATTTACACAATGTTCATCAAATTCTGGCATATATGATATGTTTTTTAAAACTGTCAAAGCTGTTCATGTCAATGACCCTATAACTAAAAATGCATTGCGGTTTTCAAGCTGAGTATTCAATCAAAAAGCAAATGGCATCATTAGAGTCTCATTTTAGCTGTCAGATTCTTTGGTATAATACAGGTGGTTTGGCTACTGCCTAAGCCATAGCAGCTGAGAAAGATTCATACAGCAGTGTGTGCTTTAAGACGTTGCAAATAAAGTGTGAACCATAGTAGAGGCCAAAATGCAAGTATTGAACCAGAAGGAGCGTAAAAAAAAGACTTTCTGTTCATTTAAGCAAAAGTAAAGATATGCATGTGTTTGTATTTGTGAGTAAAAAAGTTAAATTATAAAGACATAATTTGTTCAAGCATTTTTGCATCGCCATACTGTTGTAGAAATGTTTGATTTTGCCACAGAATATTACAGTACAGCTTATCACCTCAAATCTGTTCAATGGAACAATTCTCCTGCAGCTTTGGTTCACACTTTTTAGGTTGTATTGTTCACCTGAACAGATTTGTTGTTATGTAGAGTATTTTTGGTTTAAATAATAGTAAAACATTGCCAGATAAACACATTCTCAAATAAAGTGAAATATAGATGTGGATAATAGATAGTTTTGACAAATATCGAAACATCCATAACATGCAAATGATTGTTATAGTATAAACGTTTTCAGATTACTGTACTCTGATAGGACCATACAGGAATGCCTTACAAATATTTTACCCAACACGTACTAACTTGCGCGCATCTTCCTCTTGATGCTTTGCATCTGCGAAGCACCTACAGGTATTCTTGTGACTTCATTCTGGAAGCGAACCTAACACTAGGAAACTATTCAATAGTAGGCCTGTAGTTGCAAAGTCTGTTCATAAATTTATCGACAAGTGGCTAATCCAAGCCGAGAAATAAAATGCATGGAAAAGTGAAGTGAAATCTGTAACTCCGGTCAGTTGAATTTATTCGTCATTGTACATCCGGGCACTGTGTTTTTTTTTTTTTGATTGACAGTTGCCATGGCAACAAGCTAGAGCATCGCCATTTTGTCAGGAGGTTTTTTTTCCCCCCAGCTCAGTCTTTTCAAATGTTCTCTCTTCCCGCCGGAATAATGCTGTCAGTGGATATTCATTTGGTGTTTTTGAACAACGAAATATGTCTAGTGGATCGGATTAAGAAGATTAAGAGGCCAACGTTGTAATACAGTTTAAATTATTAGGCGGCGCCGCTGTTACTCAGTTGTCCGTGCCTGTGGTCCGCCGGGCCGGTTCACTGCGCAGGTTTGGACCGCGCGCCATTTTGTGAAAATTGACACAAAATTCTTGACCAAAATTATCAGAGGACACGGATTCTACTTCACATCGGGATTACTCTGGATTCTACTGCATTGATGTCTGATTCGAAGGGACTGACATTTCATACGTAAAGGCTGCGCTTTATTAAAATTTGCTCTATCGTTTATTTAGCGTCGGCTAGAATTGTTAGCTTAGAGCTAGCCACCAAAGCTACATTGGTTAGCAACAGCTAGAAGCTAACGTTAGCCTTGTTCATAGGTTAGCCAGTGAATTCTTCGTGGTAGTTAGCATGTTATTAGTCATCAGCTGATTGTGTCTTAATCAAAGTCGCCTAGACCATTGGCATTGCCCATCAAATCTGAAGACATGAAGATCTTTTTGCATCCAACTGGCATATAATTTTGTTTTTTTTGCCTTTGGAAATACTGGATTAAAATTACTCGCTAAACGGGGAGCAGGGAGGGGAGAGTCTCAAGCTGGATAAGTTTCCTCATCATACAGATTTTTGGACTTTAAATGAAGATTGTGCCATCAGAGGTGAGCATTTATCAATTGTAGTTTTAGAAGTGCTTTAGCAACATGTCACTCGCTACATCAATTCAGTTTTTTTTACATCTTGTGTACGTCTAACAATGATGGAGGCGACACTGAAGTTAGTAGCTTTCGGGCTGGGGGCTAGTGCCTATTTCATGATAGTCTTCACTAGTTGTTTGTTGGAAATGGTAACCTCGTGGGACTTTCGTGAGATAACCATTGAGATAGATCGTAAACTTTTGAAGAGGTACCCTAAAATGTGGTATTTGTCTGAAAGGGTGTCATGCTGCCATACAGCTAACACGACCCAGCTGTACGAGACATTGTCATTGTACATTGTGCTAAAAAATAAGAGAATGTGGAGTTTTCCTCCGTTCTAATGCTTTTGAATATGCATAATTGATTATCAACCCCAAAGGGCCTCAACCAACGCTTAGATTATATAGCCCAGTTGGCTAAACCTGGCTAATGGTTAAGGCTGACTTGTTGAAGCAGAATGGGCCCACAACCCGCTGGCTGCACAGCACAGCGTCACTTGCTAAGGTTAACGCTGGATTGGTGAGAGATGTATGCTCGCCTGTCCCGCAGTTTTTACTGAACGACAACAGCTTTAGCCTTAGTTAGAGAGCTATGGGTAACACTGCTCTTGTATATTGGATATGTATTACTAGTATACGCCGACATGTAGCTAGAGGATACACATTAATCCTGAATATGCTTTCTAAATCTCAACCATGACGAGACCTATCCCATCTTCTGTAAGTACAGCGTTTTTTTAGAAGCTAGGATTATTTGGGTGTGAAGGATGACACAGATGACTGTTGATAACATTAAATGTATAATTATATTTTTATGATACCACACGGCTACAGATAGCAGGCTAGCTCTCGTCGTTGTATTTACACAGAAATGGGCCTGAAGATGCCGCGGAAAGGAACTGTTCATTTGTCGGTACTGAAAATAGAGAAAAGGACAATACAGAGCTGCACGTTCAATTGTCAGATTCCTATGCAAAATTGCCATATAGTCAATATATAGAGTTAGACTCCACACAACTAAAAACACTTCAAGTAGGTTTTATTTACATTTTTATACAAAGTAAAGCTGTCAGAGCTTCAGAACGAATCACTGTATAATAGACGGTAAACTGGTCTTGATATTTATTTATATATAGATATCTATACATATATATTGCTGTTATGTTAAACTAGTTATTGGAGGCCTCGTTTAACTTAAGACTTAATAGCTTTGTTTGTTTTACTTACGAATAGCTAACTAACAGCTTGTTACTTTTAAAAGTTAAATCTAGGAAATTCAATAGAAACAGTAACTTTTTATAATCGTGTGCCTCCGGTAAAATTAATCATTGCTAAAATGAAGAATCATATATTGTTAAATTCTTTGTATTCTCGACTCTCCTCCTAGGATGTGAACTGTAGCTGCACCAGGTTAGCTGCTAGGTTATCTTCTTCCTTAACCACAACTGAGGTGTTTTCCTTTTTATTTAGATAAGGATAAATAAGCGAAGATTAATCAATCAAAATACAATGCGTTCATTCTATAGTAGAATTTGAAATGATATTAATACTATTTACGTCTATTTGAAGATGCGCACACATTTAGAAAATAAAATACAATTCTTTCCTAACCGGAGAAAAATAAATAGCGCTCAGCGCTGCTCTCCTCAAAACACGGCCATTGCTCGTGCTCTTATCATCTTACAGCTCCTCTTATTTCTGTCTGTGGATGTGTATTTTTTCCCTTACCAAAGCTAGGTCAGCTTTCTGACGCTTAAAGATGGAGTGCAGGTTTTGGGCTGTGCAGCTATTTTGCTGTCAGCCTCTTGTATTGTAAGAAACGTCTAAGTGTGCCAAAGTTCAATTTTATTTCTTGTTTATTTCTTGTTTTCTCATTGGAAAATGGGAGCAGCTCTGCCCTGGCAACAAAAGTAGGCTATTTGCATACTGCGTTGTGATTGGTCTGTGCATTGATGGGCTTGCCAAATCACGCTGTATCTCTGTGGTGATAGGCTATGCTAATTAGGTGCTGTTGCTGGGATTCTGAATAGTGGTTACTGTGTAGCGCTGGTGAATTGTGTTGTCTGGTGAGAGATGCTGATAGCTGAACATGCTATTTAATAATTTTTTGATTCCTTCTGGTTTAAAATGAAGGATGAATCACTGTACAGTGTGGTGATGCTTTACCGTCACCCCTTTTCACTGTTACATCTTCCGTTTTTCTCCTTTTTCTTCATAAAGGTTAATATATAACTACTTTAATTTTTTATACAGATCATCACATTTTGTATTTCTGTATAGTTTGAGTCCCACCATGTTTTAGCTTAAACGTTTCTTTTGTTTAAAAAAAAACATATTTACTTGCTGTTTTTAAATTATACATTTTGTTTTTGGCTAATACATTTTATGAGAAATATTAAATGTATATGGTTTGCATATTGCACATATAATTACTCAAAATACAGAACTAAACATTATTGTTATTATATTGCATTTCCTTTTATTGAAATTGTACATTCTTTACCTTTTTTAGTTTTAATACCATGTTAATTCCTGGCTCTTTTTATCTCTTAAAGGAGGAGAGACTTCAGCATGCAAACCTTCGTCCGTCCGGCTTGCGCCCTCTTTTTCTTTACACACTGCTGGTCTTCAGATGGCTGCTCCAATGCCCCATACGCACCAGCAGTACAGTGACCGCCACCAGCCTACTACTGACCAATCTGTTACGGTTTTACCGTACAGCGACCAGACACCACAGCTCACTGCCAATCAGGTATCATCACATGTGTAGCTCAGACTGCTCCTGTTTGTGTCTTTATTGCACCTGGTTTGTGCTTTTTGATTTGTAAACTATAGTTAAACTTTTAACAAAACCACATGTCACTGTTTTTGCTCTTCAGAGGCACATGCCCCAGTGCTTTCGTGACCCAACTTCAGCTCCCCTGAGGAAGCTCTCCATTGACCTTATCAAAACATATAAACACATCAATGAGGTCAGTTTTTATACATTGAAAATTAAGAAATGACTAGATTTACTGTTTACTTCTAAATAAAACATATTATGTTATTTGTTTATTTATAAAATATTTTCAGGTGTATTATGCAAAAAAGAAGCGACGGCACCAACAGGGTCAGGGTGAAGATTCCAGTCATAAAAAGGAGAGGAAGGTCTTCAATGATGGCTATGACGATGATAACTATGACTACATCGTCAAGAATGGGGAGAAGTGGATGGACCGTTATGAGATTGATTCCTTGATAGGAAAAGGGTCATTCGGACAGGTGCTTAACTTTTAAGCTAACACTTAAACGGTTCTTTGGTTTACAGCGTCAAATATGGAAAATGTTCTTCTCACAGGTTGTAAAGGCATATGACCGTGCAGAGCAAGAATGGGTTGCCATCAAGATCATTAAGAACAAGAAAGCTTTCCTCAATCAAGCCCAGATTGAAGTGCGCCTCCTTGAGCTTATGAACAAACATGATACTGAGATGAAATATTATATTGGTAACTAATCCTCTACATGGATTTTTTGTGTGTGTGAATTGTTGCAATTATAATTATTCTTTTTTTTCTGTTTAGTTCACCTAAAAAGGCACTTCATGTTTCGGAACCATCTTTGTCTAGTATTTGAAATGCTCTCGTATAACCTCTACGACCTGCTCCGAAATACCAACTTTCGCGGAGTTTCCCTCAATCTTACCCGGAAGTTTGCCCAGCAGCTATGCACTGCACTACTCTTCCTGGCCACACCTGAGCTCAGCATCATCCACTGTGACCTGAAGCCGGAGAACATCCTCCTCTGCAATCCCAAGAGGAGTGCCATCAAAATAGTGGACTTTGGCAGCTCATGCCAACTGGGACAAAGGGTACAAGTATTTCCTTTCTATTGTAATGGAAATTAACGTGACAGCATATGAGTTGATATTATTATTCGGCAGTGTGTACAACTGTTTATTGTATTTATTCGTTTTCAGATATACCAGTATATCCAGAGTCGCTTTTACCGTTCACCAGAGGTACTGCTGGGAATGCCCTATGATCTGGCCATTGACATGTGGTCCTTGGGTTGTATTTTAGTCGAGATGCACACTGGAGAACCCCTCTTCAGTGGAGCTAATGAGGTATTGGCAGAGCATGGAAATGTAGAATTCTGGGACATTTGATGTACTTTTTCATATTAAATCCTCAAAACTTTCCAGGTGGACCAGATGAACAAAATAGTTGAGGTTCTTGGCATCCCACCTAATCACATTATGGACCTAGCCCCTAAAGCCAGGAAGTTTTTTGAGAAGCTTTCAGATGGGACATGGAGTGTGAAGAAGACCAAAGATGGCAAAAGGGTGAGCCTTATGCCATGTTTGTTGTATAAATATGACACAGCCGGAGTCACCTCTTTGTTTTTCTTTTCAGTATAAGCCTCCAGCCTCAAGGAAGCTGCACTCCATTCTGGGTGTGGAGACCGGAGGCCCAGGTGGCCGACGAGCAGGGGAGTCTGGCCATGCTGTCGCAGACTACTTGAAGTTCAAGGACCTGATCCTTCGGATGCTGGACTATGACCCTAAAAGCCGCATCCAGCCCTACTATGCTCTGCAGCATAGTTTCTTCAAGAAGACTGCAGATGAGGGGACCAACACAAGCAGCAGCGTGTCCACCAGTCCGGCACTAGAGCAGTCACAGTCGTCAGGAACCACCTCAAGCACCTCCTCGAGTTCAGGTAAGACATCTACCTTGTGTTTTACCTTGTGTTTTACCTTGTGTTTTAATATTTTAATTTAATTACAGCAGCAACATGACAGCAATTGTTCTTGAATGTTTCCACTTTTATTTTTAGGTGGATCATCTGGAACAAGTACAAGTGGTAGAGCAAGATCCGACCCTACCCATCACCACTTGCACAGTGGAGGACACTTTGGCACGACTATGCCTGCCATTGATGGTGATAGCCTCTGCCCACAGGTCAGACGTCAACACAGTCGAGGGCTATGGCTGAACTGCAAACCGCTTTAGTTCTATGCTTGTACATTCATTCTAAGGAATTAATTCTAGCATTTTGTTTTTTGCAGACGAGGCAGCCTTATCCACCGCCACTAGTTTGGGGAGGAGGGGTTGGTCCAGAGTCTGTCACTGGTGAGACCCATCCTGTCCAGGAGACCACCTTCCACGTCCCCCCTCAGCACCCAAAGGCGCTGCATCCCCACTCACACGGTCATCACCACCACGGGCCTATGATGGCTACGCGGCCACGCCCGCGCCATTACACGTCCCCGACACACAGCTCCTCCACACAGGACTCCATGGAGGTGGTGCACGGCCATCTGTCCATGACCTCCCTGTCTTCCTCTGCCTCCTCTTCCTCCACATCGTCCTCTTCCACTGGGAACCATGGCAACCAGGCCTACCAGCTCCGCCATTTGCCTGCGGGAGCTCTTGACTTTGGTCAGAATGGTGGGCTGAGCATGGGGCTAGGTGCCTTCTCGAACCCACGGCAGGAGACTGGCATGGCAGCGCACCCTGCTTTTTCCATGGGCACGAACACGGGGCCTGCCCACTATCTAGCAGAGGGCCACCTGGGCATGAGGCAGGGCATGGACCGGGAGGAGTCTCCAATGACTGGAGTGTGTGTGCAGCAGAGTTCAATGGCCAGCTCGTGACTGCACTGACATTTGGCTGTGTGTTCCCCATGTGCGTCATTTTTAAGGTGGTGTTTTTTACTACAAGGTGTGTTGAGAACAAAAGCTGCTCACGTCAGAAGGGAGATATCACTGAACCGCTACTGCAGAGAAAAACCTTTGTTAAAAAGTATATATGTAATTTTCATCCATTGTTTTTATATTTTCTTTTATTTGCAATCATTAGGCACAAAATAATACTGCGAAATAACCATAGTGAGATTGAGAAATTCACCTTACCATTTCACCCAGTTTCATGTAACCACCAAGTAATCACCATATGGTGTTATGTGGCAAAATCTTATATAGAGCATTTCAGAGTAAAGGTTCAAGCTGTTCTGCCAGTAGTTGTTGGTGATAAAAAGCCTGGCGTTCTCTTTCGGTTCTGACCGTGGACTGCCTGACATTACTGATCCACTGGTTCTCAATTATTTTGCCCTTTTTAGGTGAAATTTCACTAAAGCTGCTCGTAAATCCTGTAGCTTGACAATGAGGGGAAATGTTGCAGTGATATTTCTTGTATTGGTCTTGGTATTGTGTCACTCTTGTTTAAAGGGGAACACATAACAGCGCAAATCCTAAAGCATGTGCTGGCCGGATGCCGCAGGTGGATACTGACAGCACGAGGTCAAAGGAGAGGGAAGCACCACCCTCAAAGCCTGGAGACCTGTGGTCCTGCAGTCCTGCGCTCCGCGACCGGGCTGGGCAGCGCACAGAGCAGCAGTGGGCACATGAGACGCAAGGATCCAGCCCAATGAATGGAAGACAGTCAGTGGCTGGTTCTTAGATAACCCTTTGGCCTTATGACTCTGGGACTTGGATCGAGATGGAGTTGGACAATATGATTTGAATTAAGATGGCTTTTCTCTATTTTTCTCTCCAGACAGCCCTTAATTCTTAAGGAAATTCAAACACAGAAAGTTGACTAAGAATGGTAATTTGAGGCCTTTCTCAACAAGATTTCTTCTTCAGCAGGGCCCCATTTAAAAGGGTCTTATTGTACACAACCTCCTAAACACAACTTCCTTGAAAATCTTACACACTGGTTAAAGATTTTACATAGGAAAGAACTATATTCCAGAGTACCCTTTTATGTTGTTATTTTCCCTTTTTGCATGTAGTTCTTCATCAGAACCACCTGCACAAGTCTCTCCATCTAAAAACATGGAAACTTAAGAAAAAAAATGGGTTAAGTGACTGCCTTTTTTCTCCACAAATTATGCTGTGAATTTTACAAGAATTTATTTTCCCTTTGGATATGTTTTTATATCAAAGCAGTTGTTTTATAGCATATAGGTGTCTGTAACCAATAATGTAGCAGTTCACCACTTTGACGCAAAGTTTATCAAGATCTTATTTTAACGTCAATGCAAACAGCTGCAATATATTACATTAGCAAAACTGGAGACCGTTGTCGAGACCGTTGGCTATTGTGTTTTCTGGCCAGAAATTTGTGGGACGTTTTACCAAAACTTTCCATATTAATTGGTAGATTATTTTGGGAGTCTTTAAATCTTTGGTATGTTAGAGAAATTGGTAGTTACTCTGCAGGCTCCAGAGTAGCAACATAGAATCTGATGGTATAAAAAAAAAAGGAGAGTAATGTGTTCTATTTCTCTGTTGTCTTTATTTTGCCCCCATCATACTATTTCAAAGGGTTGTGCTGCCTTTCATATGTCATCTGGTCAACTAGGCTTTTAAATGCTGAGAAACAAGTCCTGGCAGGGTAAGGGTAATTGTGGCAAATCAGTTTGAGTCGACTTGTGTTGCTCTGAAATTGTTGAGCAGATCCCCATGATTGTTGTCCTATTCAAAAGGAAAGGGAAGTCCGTCAGCCCACAGTCAACATGCTTCGCCCAGGCAGATGTGCATGTTCTTCAAACATAGTCAATATTTTTTGTTATATCAGGGAATTTCAAGTGCTTTCTGTCTTCTGTTGCTCATTTTACCAGTCTTTTGTTTATTTTTATTTTTTTTTAAATAAAGAAATCCTGCCTACTGCTACTTTTCAAATATAGGGCAGGCCACAGGTCATGATGTTGTCATTTTGAAGGAGAAACGCCAAGAAAACAACTACTAGAAATTATGCTTGGTCTTTTGACAAACCCTAATGTAAAGCTACCTATATTGAGATTGGAATTTATCTGGATGTCAAGGTTATTTGCAAATTTGCAATCATTTCATACCCCACTGAATTTGACACATTTAGAATTGGTCAGTGATTTTACTGCTGGCTCTCATACTGGTACAAAACATTCCAAAAATAAAGACTGAAAAATAATAAAAACATTGACTGCAGTGATGAGTAAGTGTGCGCCTATTTCAGATCATGCTGATTGACCTCTTATTTAGAGCAGTTGTCATGAAATGCAGCCCCTTTTTAATAGTTGAAATAGAATTTATGTATATATTTATATTTTTTTAATAAAGGAAGTATAGAACTCACTACCTTGCTCCTGCTGGTATGTTGATTATGTTTGTCAATTTGGTGACCATTCAGTGGGCAGGAACTCCTGTTTTCTTAGTGGCAAAGCCTTGCCATTTGGCAAAGGTACTTGACTGCATCAGGACAACACTATGAGGTAGGGTTTGAATCAAACAGGGAAAGCTAGATCTTCAAACCTTAATAATTTTCACAGGGTATATTGTAAGTGCATGTACATCACAGACCTTACTTTTTGGTTATATGAAAAGCACATGGTTGAAAAGCGGTTCCATCTTTCATAAGCCTGTTGAGTTTGTGGGTTTTTCACAAACACATACTTGTTGACATATCTGATCACTCAATAGAAGGTGTAATACGTATTTAAGTTCAAAATATCCCTTTCATTTTTTCACATTTTTCCACTTTTGTTGTACATGCAACATGCACTATAGAATTGAACAGCATGGGGGAAAGGATAAGTCCATGTATCCACAGATTGTAAGATCTAGTCAAGACTTTGCTGTGTTTATGACAATGCCCTTTGTATTATATTAAGACAGTCTTATGTATGATATATAAAAAGAAGTTAATTGAATAATTCTGCGTGTCTTTCTTTGTGTCAATACATTAACCACCATGGTTAAGGAAACAAGGTATTTCTAAAAGCTAAACTCCAATAGTGGGGGGTTGGCTCGTTGGTCTAGGGGTATGATTCTCGCTTCGGGTGCGAGAGGTCCCGGGTTCAAATCCCGGACGAGCCCGATTGACATCCATGTTTTGGTCTGTTTGACAGCTAAAATGTACCCTTCACATATCTGAATGTGATTCAAGTAATGCGCTTGAAATAGGAAAATTACCCACAACATATACCTGAAGGTGGATGGATGGTCAATGTTCACGGAAAGTGCGTGTGTACTTCTTTCGGGCCTCTATCTCTGACCACTTTTTGGATATACAACTTAGAATTCTGTCATACATCAACACTATCCGGGTTTTATTTCATGCTGGCATTACTAGCAAACTTTTTATCTAGAAAAACAACTTGAGACAATAAAAAGGCAAAAATGAAGGGCTCGTCCGGGATTTGAACCCGGGACCTCTCGCACCCTAAGCGAGAATCATACCCCTAGACCAACGAGCCTACGTATCGTCCGAGGTGCAACACAGAAAATTAAACTAAATATGACGTGAATGTGTATGAATAAACTACTTGAATGCATCGGTGATGAATAAAAGTTGAAAAACGTCTCATGCGCTCTGTTTTCACAAAAATAACAATAATGTCCCCAATGTAGACATTTAGAAGAGATGAGTGAACGCTTACAAGGGCTGAAGGAGAATAAATTGCGATAGTAACTGATAACTTCATAACTGAGAAACCGATTAACGGATGCGAGATGCAGGTTTGGGTCAAAGCAGCAACATTGCGTTTGTTTTGACGAAATAGCGTTCAGCTCGTATGATTGGTGCTATAATGCCCCCTTTTGTAAAGCCAGCAAATCACATACGACTAATGGCTGAAGTGATATGTGCCTGTGACCATTTGCGTCGGGAAAATGTTAGCCTAAGCAGAGAGACGAGAGCGGGAGGGCGAAGCTAGTAGCTATTTTGAATCTCCAACTTTAGCTCAAGTTGGTTAGTCTAGTGTAAAGTAGGATCAACATTTCTAGATCGTGTGAAACTGGCGACTGAGTGACGTAACACCGTTGCTGTGAAGTGTTGTGTTTTAACGTCCCTCTGGTATTGTCAGCCGAGCTAACGCGTTAGCCACAAACATGCCGAATTTTTGCGCGGCCCCAAACTGCACAAGGAAAAGTACAGAGTCTGATTTGGCTTTTTTCCGTTTCCCTCGTGAGCCAGAAAGGTAAGCAATTACAAACATTATAATGGGAGATCCAATGAAAATGTGTTTAGTCTTGAGTTTGTGCTGTGATTGTATTGTAGATGTAAAATGTGGGTTGAGAATTGTCGAAGGGCAGATTTAGAGACCAAAACATCAGATCAACTGAATAAGCACTACAGACTGTGTGCCAAACATTTTGACCCAGCAATGGTGTACAAAACGGTAATTATAATTCTTCCACCTCGTTTTGCTCATTGTCATTTATTTAATACCAGCAATGACCTGTCTTTATTTCATTCCATACAGAGCCCATACAGAACGGTTTTAAAGGACACTGCTATCCCGACTATATTTGATCTCACCAGCCACTTGAAGAATCCACATACTATGAGACATCGCAAACGAATAAAAGAACTGGTATGAAATAAAGTTTTTGTTTTGTTTTTTTAAACCCAATATAATATCCCAATAATTGCTTCAATCTTTTTTGTTTTCTTAATTAGACCGAGGAAGACTTAGAAAAGATTAAAGAAAGGCGCTGTAAGTTAATTTCATGTACTCTTTAAGTTTTCTCTTGTGTTTGGATAAAACTACTTTTTCTCTTTCTGCAGTGGTAACTTCTACTGATCAGCTTGTAAAGAAAGAAGCAATAGTTGAGGAGAGCAACACTGATGAACCTCAAATGTCCATTGAGGAGAAGGAATATCGGGACTACCTTAGATCACTATTTGAAATTATGCTTTTGATGGGGAAAAAGAATATCCCATTAAACAATGACCCAGTTAATGAATCTGAACCAAAGACGAGCAATCTTCAGTGCCTTCTTGATCTATGCATGAATGCAGGGAACGATGTGTTGCGCAAACGTTTTCAGGCCACAGCCGTCAACTCTGATTACCTCTCATCAACACACCAGTGTCAGCTACTGGATGTTTGTGAAAATACAGTCCGAGAGGAGATTCTCATGGAGGTCAGAGAGAGCCGCTTCTTCTCCTTAGTCACAGGAGAAGTTTTGGAAATTGCGGGTGAGAGTCTCCTGCCATTGCTTTTGCGTTTTGTCAGCCAGAACATCCTGCGTGAAGAGTTTGTGGATTTTCTCTTGTTTGAAGGCGACGAGTTTGCTCTTGTGGAAAGGCTTGAGACGCAGCTCACTCAGCGCTGGGGGCTCAGCATGGAAGACTGCCGTGGTCAAGCTCATAAAGCTACTGGGTCAGTGTCCACTAAGATGAAGGCAGTAGCTGTATTACTGATGGAGAAGTACCCGCTAATGCTTCACATGCCCTGCTCTAGCACTGCACTAAACATCCATTTGGCACATAGTTTACCTTTTCCTAATGTTCAAAACCTCATGGACACTTTGAGAAGAATCAGGGCACTTTTTGAGGCTCCGTTCACCCAAGATGAACTCCATAAGATTATCTCCATGTATTACCTGAAAAGTGAGAAAGCAGATGTTTTGATTCAAAACTGTGCACCTGGATGGACAGAGCAACATAACGTCTTTGATGTACTTTTAGAAGTTGTGCCACCGCTTGTTCTCAGCATTGAAACAATAGTGGATAATAATGATGGAAAGTTTACTTCCAAAGTGATAGCTGATGCCTATGCAGTCACTGAGACACTGGCAGACTTTGAAACTATTGTTACTGTTGTGATCTTGAAGAATGTTCTCACGTTCACCAGAGCCTTTGGCCGGAACCTCCAGGGAGAAACCCTTGATGTGTATAGTGCTGCCAACAGCCTGACAGCGGTTTTACACTCCTTAAATGAGGTAAACGATAACATTGATGTGTACCATGAGTTTTGGTATGAAGAGGCTCTCAATGTGGCTGGCCTTTTGGGTGTTCAAGAAAACCTCCCACGACTGTTCATTCGTAAACAGCGAACCTCTGAGATTGGTGAAGTCCAGGCAGAGGCATATTATAAAGAATATGTGACCATGCCTGTACTATGTGGCATCATGCAGGAAGTGGAGGACATGTTTTCGGAGAGCAATCTCAAGGCTTTAAAATGTCTCTCACTCGTGCCTGGAATCATGGGTCACCTGAAGTTCAATACAATGGAGGAGAATTGTACAGATGTGTACCGCAGTGACCTGCCAAGCTCAGACACACTCACAGCAGAGCTGCACTGCTGGAGAATCAAGTGGAAACATCGAGGTAAAGAGGTGCCTCTGCCTAACACCATTCATGAAACTCTACAGCTTCCTGATGTTAAGTTCTTCCCAAATGTGAACACATTCCTTAAGGTGCTGTCTACATTACCAGTGCTCAAGTTGGCAGAGAAGAATAATGCAGCTCTGAAGAGATTGCAGGATTATTTTGGTTACATGCCTTCTTCACAGTGGAACAAAAGTTTAGCCATGCTTAACATAAACACTCACGTCAAATGTGATCTGGAAGTCATGGTGGATAAATACTGCAGGCTGTACCCTGAAGAAGATCCTGGAGGGGAGTCTGAGGGAGCGACTGAAGAGGAACCAAAAGTATGAACTGCAGCTCAAATAATGTGTCAAGCCATAAAGACTATAAGCATTTTATGCCACTTATTATTTCCGTAACGGAAACTATCGCTTTGGTCTGAAAATGTAAACTTCTCGATTTATTGCATAGACCAGTCTAAGGCTTATTGTGACTGTTAAACGCTGTTATTGACTTGAGTGATCACTTCACTTGAGTGATTGTGAATCTCTTGTTTTCCATTGCCACAAGAGGGAGCACTCACAATTATGGATGGAAAAGAAGGCTACAATAATTGAATCAATTACATTTATCGCTGTTCGTTGTACTTTTCCTCTTCTATGGTTAAAATCTGGAAATGGAGACATTTGTGTACATTACCGGTATGCGTTCACGGTGTGATTATTATTGTGTTAATGTAATGGTTGAAACTAGACTGCCTCCTGAGGTGGTCCAAGTTCTTGACTTGTGCACATACAAGTGCCGCCTTTTCGCATGTTCAAGCTGCATGATTAAAGTTGCTCTTAAACTAAAAACAAAGACTATTTGTGGGGTGGTTTTGTGTTTTTTTATGTTTCCATGAATGGGTTAAATATGTCCTGTGTCTGCGCGGCCAGACGCTGACAAACTCTGGTGATGGTTCACAGGCAGACCCCTCACATCTGAAGGCATCACGCAAACGTGGGTGGGGTCGTTCAGATGCGCAGCCAGACTCAAATGTGCTTCCTAATCTGATGTGCATGGACCCGGCTCATGCCTGTTTTGTGTGACCGCTACGAATATCTCTTAGTTGTGTGAGTAGTACTACGTTTTTTATTGCATACATTTAGGCCTTTTGTGTTGAAATCATGGCATGGCCGTGCATTACTCGTGCTTGCTGCATCAATCGCTTCTGGAGCGAGCTGGACAAAGCGGACATCGCTGTGCCTTTGGTCTTCACCAAATACTCGGATGTGGCAGAGGTGCAGCATGTGGCACATCATCCGCAGCCCAGGCTGAGCCGCCCTGCCGCTATTGCCATAGAAACCCAGCCTTATCCCGCAGAGCACGAGCCATCCGCAAAGGCGCCACCCGCAAAAGATGGCTCTTCTGCCTCCGTCATGCGCCAAGACTTCAAGGCGTGGAAAGTGCGCCCCGAGCCCAGCTGCAAACCCAGGAACGAGTACCAGCCTTCACCGGGCCCGTTCATCAATGAAACCCAGTACCAGAAGGACTACAAGGCCTGGCCCCTCCCCAAGAAGCACGACCACCCTTGGATCCCCAAGTCCGCAGAGAGTGCAGACACCGGGCCAGAGAAAAGTGAGCTCGAGGAGAAGGTGCATGAGAAGGAGACGAGAGGCACAAAGAGAGCCCCATCCGAGGAGAGGAAACCTGCGGACAAGTCTGAGAGACAAGTGTGCGCACAAGTGAACGCAGAGCAGCGTAAAGGCCGGGCGGCTGCAGACGCACACAACAGGCACATCAAGGAGGTCATGACCACCTCCAGTAGCTACAGGTAAACGTTTCATGTGGTTAGAGCACGAACAACACTTAGTTACAAGGCTGTGACAGTTCTATGTGATATTCTATGCACCGAGGGACTGGACAGCGCTGTGAAACGCAACTCTATGATAAAAGTAAATGTCCATTGATGATTATCTCTAGTTTCAACCTCCATGATGGGAAAGGGCTGCATTATTGATTATCTCTGCCCCATCTCATTCTGTGTAGGAACTTTCAATCAATGTGTAATTGTATGAGCAAGGAGGTTCGGATGTTATGCATAATGATACCCCAAAAAATAATAATAGAAATGCTCACCCATTTACCATAGTAGCAGCAGCAGCAACACTTAACATGTAATATGATTCCAAAGCATTGTGTGTTTTGAATTCATGTTAACAGGACAGAATTTAAGGCATACAAAGGTGTGAAACCTTCCAAGCCCATCAAAGCTCCTGCTCAGTACAAGCCGCCCGGGGCGGAGGAGACCAGTCTGGAGACCAGCTACAGTGCCACATTCAAAGGGGAGCAGGTCAAGGCTCATCCCACAGATAACAAACTGCAGGAGCGCCGCAGAATACGTAGCCTCTACAGTGAACCCAGCAAGGTGAGCATGGATAAACTGCAATAGTCAAGACATTGCATCACGATTGTGTGAGTGTTTGCACATCTTGGCCTTTTGAGAGTAAGAATAACAACAGAATACAATTGCTGTTTGGAGGTGTTTATATGGCCACTTCCTGTCTCATTCTTGTAGGACGTGTCAGAGACTGGTCTGCTGTAGTCAGGTGTGTGTTCTGTTTCTTCTAAAGGCATGGAGACTGGTCCAACACAAATGAGCATACTGTATATGAACATGTATGCACTGAAACGCGCCAATCCTGTCACCCAATGTATCCTCTTCAAAAGACACCCTCACCTCTCATCTCTCAGGCCACACCACCACCTTTCACTGAACTGTTTCAAACATGATTTTACTGTATGTGATATTCAGCTGGACTTACATTCTGCCACATGTCACATTGTTATTAGAGGTGGAGGGTATATTGAAAAATCAATCATTTGAGTTCTTGTTTTGGATTCATTTTTCAGCATAAATATTGCTAAGCACAGCCTTCCACACTGTATCTTGTTTATTTACTTCATTTTTTGGCCCTTTAAGATCCTCAACCCATCCTGGTCCAACAACACAAAGATGGCAGCACAGCGTTCAATCCAATTAATCAAATCCATTAAAATACACAAAACATCCTCAGAACATTGCATGAAATTGATTTAATTAGGTTGATAAAGAGCTTTGTGGCTGTCTCAGAGCTGTCTCAGAGCTGTCTCAGCTCAGCTAAACAGGTGTTTCTGTTGCATTTCCATAACATTGTTACCCACCAAGTGGTGCACACATACTGTAACATGGTATAATCGTCACTCCCTTATCGGGAACGTTAGCATAAAACAACAGATGGTGTTTTACTTTACTAAATTCATTAACTCAAATTCACTTGTTCAAACTTGTAGTTGTCATTACATGCTCAAAGGTCAATATTGAAGACACATTTTTCCTTTCCTAAAGCATGCCATATTTAAGCATTAGCTACTAACTACTAACTTTCTTTTGGTGGTTCACAAGCAAATAAATATGCGCAAAACAAGTTACTCAGTTCCCGAGGACAAATGTATAGTCATATTTTCATTTATTTTGCACAGTTCTACACAACGGTGCTATACTTTACACAGAATTTATAAGAAACTTATGAATTCTGTGCATGACCACCAGCGTAAATGCACAAAATCTTTTTTGTGCTGTTTTGTGTTTTGTTTCCATTGCACTAATATTTAAAGTTCAATATACATAAAATACCTTTAATATAAGGAACAGCATGCATTACATTTTTTGTTTTTCAGAAAATGTATATTCTATTGCAAGCATTCACTGTATAACTCTCACCAGGTTGTGATGACTTCACAGTCATTTGTAGTTCTGTGCCTAACATGATTCAATGTTCATATTTTTTAGGTGGATAAACCAGTGCCACGTGCTAAACCGAAAAAGACACCAACTACAACAACCACAAAGATGACGAAAAAGGCAAAAGAAAAGCAGATTTCCAGCTCTCTGTTGATAAAGAAGAAACCCAGTGTTGCTGAAGCCAAACCTGAAGCAGTAGTGACGAAGAAGAGCAAAGAGTTGAGTAATAGACGCGCTGAGGCAAAGCATTAGGTCTTTAAGGGGAACCGTTTTAAAGATACTTTGTTTACTTGCAGTCACGTTCAGACATCTGAGTGTTTGGGAGCAACTGATTGTTTTTGTGGCACACACAATATAGCTTTATATTTTGGACACTTTATTTGCACATAAGGTAGTTTAGTTTGACCTCGAGGGCGTTGTTTCACTTTATGACTGAAGGAAATCATTATGATTGTAGTTTTCTGGGTGATTAAAACATAATTTTGCTAAGACAAATCCATTCAAAAGTGTAGTTTTTTATAGTGCCTCAGCCATAGTCCTGGTCTTCAATTCATTTTTATGATTTATCTGGTTTAATCAATTGTGTTGCCTAGACGACCAATGAATTGTAATATAATATTACAGCTTGCATGAAGTAGGCAATTTTTTATTACATTATGACATTTTAGTAAACCCCCAAATTTTGGCTAGTACATCAAATCCAATACATGAACCTACAAGGACACTCTTTTTGAATATTATGCATGTGATGAGTCATTTGATTTTGAACAGTTTTATAGCCAGGATCAGTAAGAGTCAAGAACTGACTAATATCAGAAGTTTTAATTGTGTCATCATGTTACTAAAACTGATTAAAATAAGTAGGACATATGGATAAATGATTATATACGACGTTGAAGTACAAAGAATGGGCCAGGACATGAAAGGATTTGAAATTATGCTGCTATTAAAACGTTTATAGTTGTGCAAATTGTGTGTACATTTTTGTCACCATCACAGCCTTCCCTACGTAGTATGCAACAGTGCTCACAGAGACTCCAGGCCAATTTGAAGCTTGTTTGGATAATGTCCAGTCTTTCCAAACTGGTGCTATATGTCATGTATTGTCTGGTGCGAGCTGTGAGTGGTGTGAGAGCCACATTATTTTAAATGACTGTAAGACAATGTTGAACCACTGCAAACATTCTGGTTGTGCTTGTATCCTCTGCTTACTCTGGATAAATTAAAATTACACAAAAAGTGCATTTGACCAAACTGCTGAGTAATTTATTTTCTTGTATTTGTTTATTAATTATTGTATTGCCCATGGTCGCAATTAAAATTAAGACACTGCACCTGTAGTAGTAACGCACCAATACGATACTGGTATCAATTATTGGCATCAATATTTGAAATGTGTCTTGAGTGGGCCTCAATTAATGCAATTGGACTGGCAGATATATCTATTCAGAATGTCATATTGTTACACTACTCATACACAGTTAGTGCTGTAGTTAGTTGCAGGATAAATATCTGCTAAAACCATCTGGACCCATTTTGTTATATTAACTGTTATTTGAGGGGGAAATGCAAATCTAAGTCTCACAAGTAGCATCAGTTCAGATGTCTCAAATATTGAAAACTCAATTGGGGCACTACTGCCTCCTGTTTATCATCATACAAGATATCTGTATATGCCTATAATAAATCATATTAGATATAAAACTTTAATAGTGAATTCTATATAACATAAACTCTAGCCTTTAAGTTAAATAATTACTCTATGATACCCTTCTGGGCCAATTTATTAGCCTTTATTCATTGTATATTTTATGAGAATGGTTTTGAGCAGTAACTTGGGTGGAAAAGAGGGCCACCAAATGCCTCACAATGTAGATCTACACAGTGCAGACAAAGCACAAAACGAACAATGACTTGCAGGTTGCATTTAATATAGGTCAAACAGTGAGGAGGAACATACGCGCCACCAGCAGAGGGCGCGCTATCAATGAGCGCCCCGCTCCAGCACCTGCCGGGAGATTACCACTTCCGCCCTGACTGAGTAAACAAACTCATCCGCAGTGGAGGGAAAGAACGAAGAGAAATATCGACGAAATATGTCCTTTTGAAAGTAAAGTTTACATTTATGAAATCAAACGCGGTTTGCTGTTAAGAAAAGCCCCCGGTCTAAGATGAATCGGCCAATGCAGGTTTACCAAATCAGTTTTAGTCAGTTTTTAATATGCAGAGTCACCAGGAACGTTTCCAGGTGGTCGAATGATATTTGGCAGTGATAATGTCCACTAAAAGACTGGAGGCGTTTGAGGTGGTGTGTGAGTGGGCTTCGTGCGGCTTCACGGGCTACACCATGGAGGATCTGAGTGTGCACATGTCGCAGCATCTACAGGACTATGTGGGAGACAAGGAGGCAGCCGAGGAGCTAGGTATGACGATGATGAGGATGATGATGAGAACCTGCGTACATCTCTTATTACTTTCAGATGATTGTGCGGTTAAAGCCAGAACTGATTAGTCGTAAAAAAAAAACAACGTTAGAGCTAGAACATGAATAAAACATTACAATTATATCTAGTTATAATTGTTATTATTTTACATATTCAATAATTAAATTTTATACACATTTCAAATCAATGCATACCTTGTTCCGTTATCAACTGCTAAACTTTGTTGTTATTACTTTTATACCGACATTACTTGTGTATTATTGTTGTGTTGTCCCATCCTTTCTTCCAGATGAGTATGCTTGCTTGTGGGATGGCTGTGAGTTTATCTCCATGGGCAGTCCGCAGGAATTGAAGATCCATGCTTTCTTTCACATATACCACAGTAAGCTCAAACATGCCGGGTCGCAACTTCTGAAGAAACGCCATGACTTGCAGGGCTGCACTTTGAGCACGCACAGCAACAGCCTAGTTCCAGAAGGATCTGAAGGTTTTGTTTGTCAATGGGAGCACTGTGATGTAAGTGTTATATGGTTGAGATGATGATGGCGATGCTGGTGGCTGTCAAGGTAACTCACAATGTGATTTTTAACAAACAGAGCTCTTTTAATAATCCTGAGTGGTTTTATCGCCATGTGGACAATCACGTTGAAAGCTCTGAACCTCAAGCTCTCAATGAACCTCAGAAACAACAAGCTCTGTTCTGCCACTGGACTGGTGCGTCTTGTTTATGTTTTATTTAAGTTTTAATGAAGAAATGTGTTGGCATGTTGTGTTTTGTGTGTAGGCTGTGACGCGTTCTTTAAGATCCGTTATCGTCTGAGGGAACATGTGCGCACCCACACACAAGAGAAGCTTGTTGCGTGTCCCACCTGTGGCAGCATGTTCTCCAGCAACACCAAGTTGTTTGACCACCTCCACAGACAGGCTGCGCCAATCGGTAAAAAGTTTGCAACAGTATACTTTTTTTAATGTATACCTTTTAGAGTTGGGATATCTAACTTTCCAACCCAAAAAAATAAAAATAGCAATGTTACAGAGAAAAAAATCAAAACAGTTTGGTTATATCACTAGTTTTAACCTGCATGTGCTTTTGCCCTCTGTCACATCTTTGGATCAGCTTTTTTCAAATCTGCACTACTTTTTCTTCAAAAGGACGTATATCCCAGTGCACTGCATGGATAGGGATTGAAGTTTCGTAACGAATACAAAAAAGATAATCCAGCTTCAAGCATCAAATAGTAAATCAGGGCTACTTTTGCCCCCAACTACCCCCAACTACCCCACCTCCCACTCAAGCGCGCATGTGCTGTTGTTTAGCTCGCGTCTCACAATATGGATTGCACCTCTGAACGTGGATGGCGTGACCATAGAATGATAAAGCCGGGAAACGCAGTAACCGGTAACAAAGACACGGGAAGTTTCAGGTTTCAGGTTTGCTCCGCCGCTTGTTTACCTCTGCTGTCCATGCTTTCTCTCCTCAAGAAAGTGGGGGCCAGTGGTCCGCTGTGATTAGTCACAATCTGGTCCTGAAACAAATTCTCCTCCGCGTTAAAATTACACTCCAGTACAAACCTGCGCTACTTATTATTCAAAAGGACGTATATCCTAAATAAAAAAATAACCTTTAAATAAAGGTAAAATTAAAAAAATATATACAGTATATATATATCCCAATGCATTACATGGATATGGATTGAATTTCCCTAATGAATACAAAAATAAAGTGAGGTAGTCCAGCTTTAAGTCTTTCAGTTTGGAAAATGGCTTTTCTGTTGAAGGAGAAGTTGGGTACCTCAGCTTTAACTTAAACGTTTTTCCTCAGAGGCACTAGTGTGTGAACATTGTGGAAAAGCTTTTTCTAACGAGAGGCTTCTAAGGGACCACGTCCGGCAACATGGTAAACACCACTTCTTTGTTCAACGTCCCGGTGAATAAAAATTGGTCTAAAACTCTTGTCTTCTGTTTGCGTGTAAAGTAAATCAGGTGAAATGTCCGCTCTGTGACATGACCTGCACCACCCTCGCTGCTCTCAAAATACACATCAGGTTTCGTCACTGCGATGAGCGGCCTTTTCCATGCGACTTCTGTGACAAAAGGTACATCCTCACAACAAATCTCACTTGATTATGTAAAAAACAATCTTGGATTTTGGTTGTTTCTGCACTTACTCCTATTTTTCCCCCACTTTTTACAGATTTAAAAACCAGCGGGATCTGCAAAAGCACTCAGAGATTCATAACGAGGGCTCAGTGTATCAGTGCACCGTGGAAGGCTGCGACTATGCCTGCCATACTTTTCAAACCATGAACCACCACTTTAAAAGAATCCATGAGGTTTGTATCTGTCGAAGCTTAATTTCTGGCGCTCTATTTTCAAAAGGGAAAATAACAATCTACCAAAAATCTTCCAGAATCAATGTTTTATGTATTTACTTGATCTGGGATAATGCACATTGCTCAATTCACATTTTACTTTTAAAAAGGAACATGTTTCTGTTGCAGGCTGGTGGCATGTCAAAGTATAAATGCCATATTTGTGATAAGGTCTTCTCGTGGTGCTACACCCTCACGCTGCACTTGCGAAAGAAACACGAGCTCAAGTGGCCTTCTGGACATTCTCGCTTCAGGTTTGGACAAGCTGCTTATAATGATGATGTATTACAGTGGTCCTCAAACCGATCCTCAACGAGCTACGCAGACTCCATCCATTTCCTCCGTAGTCCAGTCTCCACTTAAGGACTCATTGAGGACCACGGATGTAATACAGACACCACTGAGAAACAGAAAAGCCTCTAGAAGGTAATTGTATCTTTGTTTTTGTCTAGATACAAAAAGGACATTGATGGATTCCTCAAGGTGAACATGGTGCGCTTTGAGACTGTGGAAGTGACAAAGGAGATCATGAAAAACATGGCAAAAAAGCCTCCAAGCTCACGCAGAAGTCCAAGGGCCAGCACCAGGAAGTCCTCTGTCCCTGCAGAGAGCTCCCCTGCGGGCTCCTCCTCTCCATCGTCCTGTTCCTCCTCGTACTCCTCACAGCTGTCGGGGGACGAGGACGCGTCCCCTCAGGCAGAAAGTCCCCGTCACTCACCCCTGTACTGTGTCATGAGCACAGTCCCGCCGCTGCATGAGGATGCCGGTCAGCAGGAGGACGGCGGCACGTCTGGAGCTGTGAAGGCCCTCACGGAGGTGGCCCGCGGCCTGGGGATGGATGTGGTGTAGACTTTTATATTCCCCCTCTTGTTCTTACAGTGTTCTAACGGTCTATTTGATCAGATTTACCTGAAAAAAAAGTGCACTTTGATGTACCTAAACCTGCAGATTCAAGCTCATGAATGTCATAACTGGAACTTTGAATATAGTTAAACCAATTTTTTAACTGATTTTTGTGTAAAAGACCAATCTAGTTAGAATATTTGAACCTGTAACGTTTGGGTATTTTTTTTTACAAATTTGAATACAGTTTTGATACTAAAACATGTTTTGTGTATTATATTGCATTATACATTAGTAAAGTGTGTTTATTATTACATGTATAAAAATAATACAGACTCTAGGTAAGTTTTATAAATAGTGATAAAAACAGACTTCCAGGCATCCCTTATTGATACAGTGCCTTGCGAAAGTATTCGGCCCCCTTGAACCTTTCAACATTTTGCCACATTTCAGGCTTCAAACATAAAGATATAAAATTTAAATTTTTTGTCAAGAATCAACAAAAAGTGGGACACAATCGTGAAGTGGAACGAAATTTATTGGATAATTTAAACTTTTTTAACAAATAAAAAACTGAAAAGTGGGGCGTGCAATATTATTAGGCCCGCTTGCGCTAATACTTTGTAGCGCCACCTTTTGCTGCAATTACAGCTGCAAGTCGCTTGGGGTATGTCTCTATCAGTTTTGCACATCGAGCGACTGGAATTCTTGCCCATTCTTCCTTGCAAAACAGCTCGAGCTCAGTGAGGTTGGATGGAGAGCGTTTGTGAACAGCAGTCTTCAGCTCTTTCCACAGATTCTCGATTGGATTCAGGTCTGGACTTTGACTTGGCCATTCTAACACCTGGATACGTCTATTTGTGAACCATTCCATTGTAGATTTGGCTTTATGTTTTGGATCATTGTCCTGTTGGAAGATAAATCTCCGTCCCAGTCTCAGGTCTTTTGCAGACTCCAACAGGTTTTCTTCCAGAATGGTCCTGTATTTGGCTCCATCCATCTTCCCATCAATTTTAGCCATCTTCCCTGTCCCTGCTGAAGAAAAGCAGGCCCAAAGCATGATGCTGCCACCACCATGTTTGACAGTGGGGATGGTGTGTTCAGGGTGATGAGCTGTGTTGCTTTTAAACCAAAAAAGTTCGATTTTGGTTTCATCTGACCAGAGCACCTTCTTCCACATGTTTGGTGTGTCTCCCAGGTGGCTTGGGGCAAACTTTAAACAATACTTTTTATGGATTTCTTTAAGAAATGGCTTTCTTCTTGCCACTCTTCCATAAAGGCCAGATTTGTGCAGTGCACAACTGATTGTTGTCCTATGGACAGACTCTCCCACCGAATAATATTGCACGCCCCACTTTTCAGTTTTTTATTTGTTAAAAAAGTTTAAATTATCCAATAAATTTCGTTCCACTTCACGATTGTGTCCCACTTGTTGTTGATTCATGACAAAAAATTAAAATTTTATATCTTTATGTTTGAAGCCTAAAATGTGGCGAAATGTTGAAAGGTTCAAGGGGGCCGAATACTTTCGCAAGGCACTGTACAATAAGTCAACAAACTACTAAAATGTATACTACTAAAATCAGTGGAACTGTGTGAATCCAAACCAGTAGATGTCATAAGGCGATAAAGAGACCGGCTGCATGTCCAGGTTCTGTCCAGGGGCTCGAATCACACGAGTGAGAACTGGGGGGCAGTATAAAGGTGTTGACCTCGAACACTCAATGTGTTTCTCCTCCAGTGGCTTGTGGCCTGCTGGTCCATCAGTGGCCTGCTGGACCATCGCACTTGCACTTGGGGAAGAAATAGACCGATGAGGATGGTTCCAGTTTGTGAGAGTCTCCATGTCTGGTGTTGTTCCGTGACTGTTTAAAGACGTCTCCTCTCGTCCGTCCTGCCTCAGTCTGTCACTGTCCCTGGTTCTGGGATACTCTGTGTGCCTCTTCACACGTAGCTTCAGATGATGCCGAGTTTCACTTTTTAAATCACTCTGAGCTCTTGATACAAGTTCTCCTTTGTGATTGCAGAGCTGCTTAGGACGCTGTTTGGCCCAGTGGTTCTCAGTGTGTAGAGGTGTTGATGGAAAAGAGTAATGGTGAGGTGTGTTTGTGCTTTCTGGCCTGGCACTTGAAGAATCTAAAAATACAGACAAAAGGAGAAATAGGAATAATCCATTTGTAATGACCATCAACAGTCCATTACTCGTCACTCACCGAAATGACTTAGAAAAGACTTCTTCATCATTGCTAATTCTTGATGCGGAGTATTACACTTGTGTTGAAACTTCTGCAAGAATAATCAAAGGATAGATATGTGATTAATATTATTATAAATGTAAGTGTTCCGAAGTGCTGCATGAAGATACAGCAACAAGGAGTCTGCTAACCAAACAAATGGAGAGTAAAAATAGCAACTATTGCAGTACGTAGATTTCCAATGACAAACAATAGAACTATGTCATAAAATTCAATTAGTTCCTCTTTCTCATAACAGTTTGGTTCTATAGTTTTCACACATGTGTTTCTGGCCTCAACTGCATCTTTTGATCAGATTTTTCAGACCGAAAAGTGAAATAGAAAGCACCTTATCTCAGTCTCTCCTTCCTTCTTACAAGTCTGCAAAATAAACATTGCGAATAATGTATATTGTGAAAGCATGTTTTGTACTGATGAAGACACATGTCTTATTCAGTACAGAAAAATGGGCACCCCAGCATTAAAACACTTCACAGAAAGGTCAGTGTAGTTTTCAGGTTTAAAAAAATCCTTTCCCGGAAGATTTCAGGAGCACCATGGCAACAGTTTATAGTTAAACCAAATAATCAAATATCACCAACATTTTAAATTTGATCAAGAATAAAATCTGTTCTTTTGAGTTTAACGCTTCAGAATATATGTAAATGTTAAACAGGAGCCAGCAGAGGGTGTGAAGGCAGCACTCACACCTGCCGAGTCCCACTGTTTGAGAAACAGACCCACAGCATACTCAAAAGACCACTGCTCTTACTCATACAAACCATTTGTTGTTCCTTGTGATAGATCTGCCATGCAATATGAACATGCATCGATCCCCATCTGCGCCTCTTCTGCAAGTGATAAAAGCTGGTGTTATTTTTCTGATAGTTTTGTAAAGTTCTATCGATACAGAGGCTTGTGGATGTGACAGTACAGCTGAAACTTACAAACATTTTGTTTGATTTTTTGGAAAAACCACAAGTAACAGACAACTGTGACGTGAAAGCAAAATAAGAAGTTATTGTGTAATAAATAATAATAATAATTGGGGTTTGCATAAGCTTCTTCACGGTTTGTTGTGGTCTTTTAGTAAATGTATAATCTTTGTGGCCGTAACTTGACAACATGTGCTAAAGTTTAAGATATATTATCACACTGGAAGGCACTGCATTCTTGTAAAATACATTATTTTCCTGACATCATTTGTTTGATACAAAATAAGATAACTCATTGTAACACACACGCTCCAAGCACAGGTGACTTACTGACGTATTAAAGGGAGGATCAGGACTTTTCGTGTGCGCCGAGCGTGTTGCACTGAATGAATGCATTCCTGTGATGACGATGCTTGAAAATCTGCAGATAGGTTAGTGCAAATTGTTACACCATTTTTAACCTTTTATTGTATCACCTGCATATGAAAGCTAGATCCTGTCACACCTCTATAGCTAAGGAGGGTATGGTCTGGTTAGTACTGTGATGGGAGCTGCAAAAAAATGCTAAACTTTACAGCAGGAAGGCATTAAAACGGCAGTCTGATGAATAAGTAGAGTACATTTCACCATTTTTAAACAGAAGCCTGTTATAAAACTAGCTTGTCCTGTTTGATTTAGTCTGCATCAGATCACATTCATGTTGAAGAGGTTCTAAAAGGTTGTGAAATTCACGATCAAATGGGCGCAGACAGGTGACAAACATTTGACTCTGGTCACTATAGTCTCTCCCTAAATGATCCCAATGAGCTCAAACCAGAGAGATCCTTGTTTGAGCCACCATGTTTTTATGGTCTATCAAGTTGTGGTTGAGCTGGAACAGTGTCAGGAGTGGGACTCACCATCAACATGTAACAACTAATAAGAACCACATTCAGTTTATAAATAATGTACAGTGATGGGAATAACGGTGTTACTACGGCATTTTTCAGTAACGAGTAATCTAACTAATTACTTTGACTGTAACTATAACGCCGTTATCATTTCCGACATCCCGTTACTGCGCGTTACTCAAGACGCACAATGAACTTCTCTTTTTACTTCGTGATAGGACTCGTGCGCGTGTTGTCATGAGAGAAGGGAGGAATCTACATGTCTACAGCTGAGAGGATGGCTCATAAATTGTGTTTTTGAAACAAATATGGGTCTTAATCGCGCTCAACCACGGCTTGTATCACCGTGAGGTCAGCCACAGAGGAGCGCATGTGAGCGCAGAAGTCGGCTGCATACAATTCCATCGATAAGCTCCTTTCTCTTCCTGGTTTGTCTACTACGGGCAGCAACAGGTTTGGTTAACATACATGTAACACATTTTAAGATAATTCAAAATGCACTTAGGGTAATTTTTCAATTACTATAGGAATGATAAGAAAGAGAGATGAAGTGTAAGACGGTTGAATTTAGAAATTGGATGCACCCGGCTACAGAAAAACAGAAGAATTTATGGAGGAGACACGCGTTTTGTTTTACTTTTTAAAACTCATTGGACTCATTTCCAAATGGAGGATTACATATCTACGCTCAAACTATTATCTGGACTTAAACACAGAACTGGTCTGAACCGAAGAGGCCTGTGCAGGTCATTTATAAGGTAAGACCCATAACTCAGTTTTGCGTTTTGTATGAACAAACAATGCATGAAACATATTCTGCTATAGCCAAACAAATTGTCCAGTTGATTTATATGATATATATGTTCATCTGATTGGGCTGAAGAAGTCAGTGCTTCACCGGTGTTTCCACATTCACAGTGGCAGGTGTTGGGGTTTAGTGCTTACAGCACAGAGAGAGATGAAGAGTGAACAGGACTTCAGCAGCAAAACAGACTTTTCTAGATGGAAATATTGGCACTATTTAAACTCACTGAGGTTAAAGGTCAACATGTGCACGTCGAGTGCACATTATGTTCCAGAACAAAACGAAAAAGTAACACAATAGTTACTTTTACTGGTAAATAGTTACTTTTATTGTGGAGTAACTCCGTTATTAACTCAGTAACTTTTTGGGAGAAGTAACTAGTAACTATAACTAATTACTTTTCCAAAGTAACGTGCCCAACACTGATAATGTATAATACTACTGTATATTTTTAATTGTGTTAATAATTGAGATAAGTACTTTTGTCTGAATTTGAGCTAGGTAACCAATTATAATAGGGAGTTTTACATACATTCTAGTAAATTCAGTTTTTCTCTAAGTATCTGTGGGTTAAAAAAATATAAAAACTGGCATTACGAACACATTTCTTAATATCACATTCAAGAAAATTTAACTTCTTTCTTGTAGTGCTGAAGATAAATATTTTAATAATCTGGATACACTACAAATGATCCCACGAGCCACATTTGGGTCGGACCAATAGTTGAAAACTACTGTCCTACAAGAGAATAAATAAATAAACTAACATTTCTTACCTCAATTAGGTTTCAAAGTCCTGCCCACTCCCTTTCTCCAGCAAACAAATATTTTTCCTTCGGGAACAGCGCAGTGTCCAGACCCAGGCGACCCCAAATCAGTCTGTTACTTACCAGTGGGAACAAAGATTATTAACTGCTCCTTAAAGCTCATGTAATCTCATCAGCTCACTAAACCTTTAACCTAATAATATTGGCCAATTAGGTTGTGAACAGGGAAAATAAATTATAATGTATCCAACTTAAAACAATTATACTATTTAATTCAGTCCAAGTGAAGCATTTGTCTGATATCAAGGTGTCGTTTTACAGGTTGACAGTATTGTCTGAGGTTTATGCAAACACTCTCATCGCTAACACTACAGTGTGTAATCACGAGTCCAGGACCAGCCAAAGCCAAACTATCCGGAGTCACTGGCAAAGGTTTGCAAGACTAAGATCAGGACTTCCTCTGAACTATTAAGCACCTTGTGATTCCCGACCGTGCCACTATTCACATTTGTGAAGGAATCGTTCCCAATCCTGATCTGTCAACCTGAGATAACCTAAAAGCTTATCTCATGAGCTCAAACTTACACCAGGCCCTGATTGGATGAGGCTTTGTGATGACATGTTCTCCATGAAAGGGTAATTCAATTCTAACAAATCCTATTACTGTATACTCCTGAGCCTCCGCAGAAAAGTGTTTGTTCCAAGTATTGGCCCAAACAGACGTCTGTGGGAGACATAAAAAACAAGTAGTGTTTGTACAGAGTTGTAGCTAATGTGCAGTTTTATACTTAATTCATATGACCCAGCTTTTTATTTTCTTCCATTTGTGTGTCTGGACAATTGCCATTCAGTAAAAACCAAAAGAGCGGTAAAGCCCATACAATAAGGTAGACGCACTTTATTCCTAAAACAGATGCTGCACCATCAGTAGCGGCACACAATTATATGTACACATATACACACACACAATTACCTAAATCTGTTATATAAAATATATCATCTGACAATGTACCTTTAATTATTCTTCAGAGCTCATCAAGTAACTGTGCAGGAGACTCGGGAGCTCAAGCAGAAAGAAGAGTCTCATCCACTCGCTGGTGGGACGTAAATGCCCAAACCACCGTACTTCATTTTTTTACAGCATGGCAATAAAAAGGTCAGCACTCCTTTGAAAAAATAAGATTCTAAAAGCAATCTACAGCAAGTTCACTTTTAACTAATTTTTCCATGATGTTACTGAGAAAATTACACTTTTCAAACCAATTCCTTTACAGTGAGATGTACACACCCTCTGGGATTTGTAATATATATTTATATATAAAAGATATTAAGCATTAAAAATTCCACATTTAAAAACTTAAAATAAATAATATATGCAGGCATTTCATAAGATAAAATTTCATAGATTGCAATCTACAGTCGATAAAAATTTATTCTCCTTTATGAAACGTCCCTTGATCATCCAAAGAGTTAAAATGGATCCTTGGCATCTGATTGGTGAAAGTGGAGTTTTCTGTGCCCCTCCAGAGCGTCCAGCAGAGGGCACGTCCAACCAGGCCTCAGCGCGGTCAGAAAGAGTTCAGAGAGAGTTCAGAGAGTTCAGAGCATGTTCATGATGAAGTTGTACATCTGAGTGAGCACCACAAAGTGAACGGGCAGACAGGAGCGGCGGTCTTGAGTGGCGGGGTCACACGTCAGCCACGAGAGTGCGTTGTAATGCTCCAGAACAAATCTGTAATCAAGAGCATGATTCATCAGTTACCCAGAATCCTTACGTTTATTAAAATGTACAAACTACTCGGTAAAGCATGTACCTGAGCACATCCGAGGTATGATTGGAATCCAGAGGATGGGAGTGTTTACTGTGAAGCAGCTCGTCTGATTGGACAGACGACACATGCAGGTGCAAAGAGGCCTGAAGAAACAAGACAGTTTTCTTTGTAATGCACAAAACTAAAACACAAGAAATCAACTCATTCCTTTGGGCTGTAACAAAGTGATCAAATCGTCACAATTATTGAAATAGTTGTCAATTTTTACAAACTGGTGAATCGCTTATTGACCCTCACCTGGACCAAAACATGCCATTGTTTTTTAAAACCATATTCTAATCCAACTAAGATGATGTATAGTGGCCTCACACTTATAATAGGACTGATAACTTGCACTGCCCTTGTCACTTTTAATCTTAACTTATTTTATTTGTACATAAAATACATCTATTGCACATTTCCTGTCTTTTCGCACACGAGTGATGTTATTTATGCAAAAATGCAACATTTCTCCATTGAGATCAATAAAGTCCATCTTCCTATTCCAATCCCCCTACTAAGCAATTATCAAAATAATAGTTAATTGCAGTTAATGACATTACGTTTCAAGCCCTTTAATTACATCTGTAAAATTGGAATTAACAAATTATGAATATAGTATACCTTCATGAAATATGATGTGGTATTTGCCTTTTTGTCTGTACCTTAAGAAAGAGTGGACACTGATCCTTGGCTTCTGGACACGCAGCCCAGAACCAGTCTGGCAGAGGTCCGGCTTTGGCCGTTGAAACAAAGTAACCCAGAGCCATGGGCTGCTGCAGGATGTTCAGAGCTTCTTCATGAGACTCCATTCGGTCTGCACTTTGCCCCTAAACAACAAAAACAAATAGACAAAAGGTCTGGATTTTTACCTGTATTCATAAATCAATCTTACTAGACCCTTTTATAAATTTGCTATTTCTCTCCCATACGGCTAAGACAGCATTTCATTACATCAGAGTGCAATCTTTTAATAGAAACGAGTACCTTATATCTGTGCTCATCTCGAACTGCATCATGGAAACATATCTAAGAGTAAATTTGTGTTTCCCAGGAGCACTGTGGCCCATGACTTTACGGTCAGTCTTGTCACAATACTAAAATTACGATTTTGATATTGTAAAAAAAAAACTAAAAAAGTCTTAATATCACTAAGTGATAGTTACAGTCACAAGAAAAACACTGCAGTCCTAAAACCACATCGTGGATTGGTTTTAGTACTGACCTTGCCGCCGTCGCCACCCTGATGGTAATGCGAGCCTGGAGAGTGGACAGGAGAGGTGGTGGGTGAGTTTGGAAGGATGTTGATGAGATCTGGATCCACCATGTCATTGTCAAACAGGTCAAAGAAACCCATCCCATCTGTTCCATCTGCAGGAACAAGACAATGCATTAAAAAGAGCAAATGAAATGTGCTTAAATGCAGTTCAGAACAAACCGTTGTTGGGGTTAAAGTTGATGTCGATGGGCTCAGTGGTGTTGGTGTTGACCTGTACCATGGCAGAGGTTGGAAACACCAGGATGTGAGTGCAGGAAGTGTCCTGAGGAGTGCTCAGCTGAGATGTCTGCATGTTGAGTGTGGTGCTGCGGCCAAATACAGAACCTGTCGAAACTGAATCTAAAAAGATAAAACACCCAGGGTTATGTATAGGAAATTAAACTGAATGCACGTTTTAGAATGCACATACCTGGCATAATTACAAAGGAACCTTGTGGTTCCATAGCAACCAAACAGGCACTAAGGATGCTGGGGGTGTCAGAGGCAGAGATGCCACACATTCGACATGTTTCTTTCAGACGTTTACTGAGTGACTGCAGATTTCTTCTGCTTAGCAGAATACTCCAGTCTTTAAAAACAAGAAATAGACATGTGTTAGGATGAGATAAGTGACAAACCAAGATTACTATATACAGTATTTGGCCAATTTACCCCTCAGTTCGCCATGACCCATTCTGCCAAGCCGTCCAATCACAACCCTCCAAGGCAATGAAGTCACCTGTACAAGACCCAGACACCAATCCCAGAGCTTCTGCAAGCCCAGGCGCCGAGCTGAGCCTTTTTTCCGACGTGCCCTGAGTTTAAGAATATCACTTATTATTTCACAGAAATATCTTTTTGAGAAAGGCACATCAGGGTCCGCATACCTGTTGGGTACATCAATGCTAATGACACAGGTCTCCAGCAGTTCTCCATGTTGGTCAGTGCAGGAGGCCAGCAGCCAGCGCTGGTCGTGGGACAGACAGTAACCAACAAACAGGACATTGTATTTCTGAGAGGCCTCTCCAAACGTTTCTCCCAACTCAGTCTGCTTGTCTTTTATTGGAGCCAGAATAAAAGGTGGTGTGTACAAGCGTTGGCACTCTGGTCGCTGTCAAGAGAAAATGTTATTATAATGTGTTTTATGTTTTAATATAATTTAATATGCAACACAATTGTGCTTGAGGGTCAACAAGGGATTGATGTTACCTCTGGGTTCTTCAGTGCCATGTCTATGGCCAACCCAGGGCCAAAACCGGTGAGGGTCTTGAAGTTTGTAGAGTTGGGCAAAGGCCTTCGACACTGTGTGAAGACTGAGAAAGCCAGAGATTTGATGTGCTGGCTGTAGAGATGACGCTCCCCACTGCGCACTGGCTGAAGCATATACTGGCACGGGACAATCTGGAAAAACACATTGCAATGCATTTAAAAACACAACTAACCCCACTCATAATACACAGCTTATAGTGGGACAAAACTGTCACTATGAGTGGCTTTAGATTTATGTATTTATTATTGCAGCCAATTGTCCCAGAGGAATGTAGTCGATTTTGTGTCTAACGCTAGATACAAAGCAATGTGTGTTACACCTCTGGTGTGACCTTTTGCTATTGCTAGGTAGGTGTTAAATAATAAAATGGAATTCAATTTGTAATTTGCCATTTGTGAAAAGGTACCTGAACGGAGACTGCATTTCTGATGTGAGAAGGCAGTAACTGAAGCATCTCCATGTAGCAGCATAACAGGCCCAGGGTGTAGGTGCTGGAATGGAGTTCTCGATCCGAATCCTCATAGCTGAAGGGGTCCACGATATACACTACGATGGCAGGTGGATATGATACTGCATGGGAATCACCATCTGTTGGCTTTCCCACTTTATCTCTATCCATTGTGCTGTTAAAATAAAGATTACATGTTTAAGTCATAAGAATAAGATAATTTATAAGTATGTAGTCTCCAAGTTGGATCTACCTCTCTGGTGCCTCAGAAATCCCCGGAGTCTGGCTTGAGGAGGACCCGTTGTCTGTCCCAGAGTTTTGCTGATTGGACTGTGTTCCATTCTGCGATATGCCACCCTGCAGGCTTGCCCCAAATGGAGAGTAGGAGCTTGGTTTGGCAGATGCCATTGACCCAATTGTCTGTGGTCCAGCAGAGGGTGGGGTTGTACTGTTGACTGGATTGGGCAGGGCAGAGCTGTTGCTGGAAGTGCTTGTGTTGGTGCCCTGGGATCCTGAGGTGGTGCTGGAAGAGTTGCTCTGAAGGAGAGGAGTTGCCACAGGACTGCGCTGGGAGAGCAAAGAGCTATCCAAAGACTGTTGTGACAAGTATGGTGCTAAAAAAAAAAAAGAAAAGAGTCAGACATAATTCTAACATTTGGATTTCATTGCATGGTCTTCAGGTCACCAGTACCTAAATCATAGCGGCAAACTTGTGCAAAGAGTTTGAGCCTATTAAAAGCGTCATTGTTTCCATCTTTAGCACCCATCTTGAGAAACCAGTCGCTGAGAGCCTGCTCCGTCATGTTCCTGTCTTCTGTGGGGCCGACTTTCAAAATGCCCTCTGGGTGACTCTTACAGATGGGCCGGTGTTGCCCAAGTTGACACGCCTGAAGAGAGAATATATGAGTTTGAATCAGTCCCATTATCAGTCCTGAGGAACATGTTGAAACACATTTAAGGCAATTACCTCATATATCGCACTTAAGTCTTTAAAAAAGGTCTTTGCGCCCCTAAGCAGAGCCTCATTTTCAGGACAGATGACAACATATCCTACATCTCTTTGGGAACCAAAGGGATCAAGCATTAGCTTTTCCCAGTACGGTAACCCAAAAGGAGACAGAACCACAAAGTCATACTCATACCCCACCAAAAAGGTGGGGATGGGCAACGGCTCAGGGGACTCGTCAGTGCCTGCTCAAAAGGATATAGTTTATTAAAATCAGGAAAATCAGGAAATTATAAACAACGTTAATTTAAGTACATACCGTACGAGCCTCGTCCAGCCATTTTGTGGAACTGTTGCCAGGTGAGTGGGCCTTGCACACCCCACGAACGTATGCTTCTTCTCTTCTGAATTGAATCCTGAAGCACAGGCTGCAGCGACAACAACACCCGTCGGACATCCTGAGAGAAAAGCTGGTTCATCGTTGCAGCTTTAGAGAGGAAAAACAAAATTAATATGGACATTTTTTAATCATGTGTTTAAACGAATTCACTGTACTTACATTTGCATTTTTGCCAATGGTGAAGACACGTGCTTTTTACAAGAGTTTCATCTACCTTGCCTCCAGACATATTGTCCATAAACTGCCGACCATGTTCCAAAGCCATGTAGCAGTCGTTATAGCAGTCTCTTTCCCCAACCCGCACAAAAGCTGCTGTGGTGGAGCTCGGTCTAGAATAATTTACCCCAGCCAAAGGAGCAAAGGGATTGGTGCATTGGTCCTGTAGCAGCAAAATCAAGTTATCTGGGGGCTTCTCCTTTAGACTGCCGGCCTTGTGTATGGCGGACACCCGAAGCTCCTCAAAACGCCTCTCAGTGTCACGACCGGCATCTGAACCTCGACCCACTACGTCCAATTCATCCTCCAGGAATAAGCCAGCGGATTGGCCAAAGCGTCGATTGGACACAGCACTGAAGCCACAAGTGCAGGGATACTGAGCCTCCCCATTATCTTTGAGGTACACGCCCACATCCGCCCCGCGAATGTTCATGTTACAGACGCACACACAGCAGCTGTCGAAGTTACAGTCTTTGAAGAGGTTCATGACAGACTCTGACAGGATGAGTGTGACGTACAGGCTGTGCGCCTCAGGGATAGACGGGACAGTGGCAGGCTCCACGGAGCTCAGGGGGCGGCAGGTGGATGGGGTGGAGGCGGGAGAGTATAGGTCCGGGTTGTCGTACTTCATTGATCCTTGGACGCTGGCTGGCCCACCGCGGGGCGTGCGCGGAGTCCTGGGCGTACGGGGAGTGGGCACTGAAAAGCGAGGTGTGGCCGGGGAGGGAAGAATGCCTGCATTGCTATTGCTTGGTGGCGCACTGTTGGACACGAAGGGTGTTTGAGTTTGGGGCGTGTAAGTCTGGACATAGTCGGTGTCCGTGCTAAAAAGAACAAATAAAAATTAAATCAAGGGTTTCTGTTGTATAAGCTGCTACAGTATTGTCTATAAAAAATATTACCTGTCTTTAGGGGCTGTGACATTTGAGGGCATAAGGTCCATTTTCCCCATAGTCCAAGTGGGAGTGTACACACAGTCTTCTGGCAGTTTGATAGGTAACAGACACTGACTCGGTAAAGTCTTCAGAGGAGCGTACATGGAACAGCCAATAATTGACTGACAGGTTTCTGATTTGAAGACAAAGGTATAGTCCTGCACAAAAACATTGGATAAGTTGTAGAACGATCTAAGCCAACAGTTTTCAAAGTGGGGGGTAGGATCCAATTAAACAGTATCGGAGGACACTTGGCTTGAAGTCTTACCTTAACCTCAGACGGCTTTGGACTACAGAACCCCTCTTCTACCTCCATCTTGAAATGGTTATTGAGTTGACTTCCATCCAACAGAGTCAGACCAGCCCCAGCTTCCAGGCTGTCTTTGCTCCCAGAGTTCATGGGCGAGTACCCTTCCCCTATAGAAGGCGGCGTGGGAAACATCTGGTGGAGATCAACAGAACCTAAAAAAAAAGAATTGTTACTTCAAACCTCTTCAGAAACAAGACCATGTAGCCTCTAATAATATTCTTTACTTATGGACGACAGAGGGTCTGAGGCAGGAGCTTTAGGGTCTTTGCATTTGTCATCTGTAAGGATGCCAGCACGTTTTGAGCCAGGCTGTTCAAAAAAAATCCCATTACGATCTTTAAAATACATTTCAATCTTTCACTAGATTGCAAGTTAAATGTAAATGAACATACCGTTAACTCATCATCTGAGTTGAAGATCTTGTCCAAATCACTGTAGGACACAGCCAGGTCATTCTCATGGATGAGGCTGGTCGAGACTGTGGGTTTACTGCCCGATGCACACTGATCGTCTGCAATTAAAGAAAATATAAGCACAACTCATCCAAGTAATTTGGTATACATACAAGAAAAACAACTTGCCTTCAGTTGTTCCATCTCCCTCCTCATTCTAAAAATAAAGAAAACAGAAAAGTTCAGCTCTGCTGTCAAAATTCATACTAACTATGACGACCCTGAGCATACTCTAGTTATAACTAACCTTGTGTTTCTTGCCACCTTCTCGCTCAGGTCCAGACTTGTCCTTTTTCTCACTGAAGACAAATTCGTCGTCTTCCACAAAGGCATAAGGGTCTGGGTCATCTCCTTGATCCTCGCCTTCAGTAACAGATTTCAGATGGCTGTTCCGCTGCTGAGCGTAAGTCTTCACCAGCTCAGATGAAACCTTTAGCCGATGCGAGGATGTTGACATCAACCTACATTTTACACAAATAATTATGAAGCACACTCCATATACTTAAGAATGATCAAAAGCTTTATTTAAACGTTGTACTTACTCTGTCACTGAAACAACGCTTTCTGTCCATCCACTTCCACTGCCATCGTCTCGCATTTTGTCCGAAGGTAGCTGAGGAGAAGAAAAGTTGGTGCCCTTCTTCCGGGGGAAATTGAAGTACTTCCAAGGATTGTGCGAGGAATCTTCATGTGGATTTATGGCAGAGCCGACGAAAACGGTGGGTTCGAGTGTTTCATTGTAGGGGGCGGGAAAGGAGAAAGGCATCGACAGGTTTTGCAAGTTGGGTTCGTCTGAAGAACACTTCTGCGGCACCAGACACGGCTCCACGGATGGCGGGTAAAAAGGTTGGTGAATAGGTGTCGAGTTTTTCATATCACCGGGAGTCATTTCCCCTTCTGCAGGATCGCATGGATGTGGGCTGAGCGGGGGAGGAGGCGGAGAGCCGACCATGTCTCCTGGAGGTCCGTGCGGATGAAGCGTAGGGGCTTTTGGGGGTACACTGTCCACATGGTGTAAGCTGGGATATGTGCCCTCCACCTGTGCTCGGAGACACAGCCGTTGCGCCTGTGGCTCCATGGACTGCTCGTCGCACACAGAGTTGCGGTGATGGAACGGGGTTTGCGGCCGCTTCTGCTGCTTCTCCCCCTTCTCCAACTTTTCACCCAGTTTATGCTTGGGGACACACTGGTTGGTCTGAATAGATGAGGGTGGGTGTCCTGAAGTGCTGCTGGACCGCTGTTTCTGACCTTTATGTCTGATACAAAAAAAAATGTTAATTTAAATAAACATTTAAATCACAGACAAATGCTCCCCCCACCCCCCTCGTTAAAATCTTCCCAACTCACCTTGAACAGTTGCAGTGTGGCTTGCGTGTGGGCTCAACAAAATCCCAGATAGCCGTTTTATCAGGCTCTTCCTCACAGCTTCCATTAACCAATGAAGGAAATTTTCTCCTAAAAAAGTAAATAATAAAACAAAAATTAAATGATTGCACACTCACTTCCATAAAGGTTTCTAAAACTTAAACAAAACCTACTTGCTCCCTGGATGAGTTATGTTGTACTCTTGCCATACAGACTCCACCATCTGGCTGGCCAGTCTCCGGGGTATTTTACCTCCATGAAGGCTGTGGCTGGAGTTATAGCCATCAGATGAAGAGGATTGTTTGAGCCACCTCTGTGCTGGTGGATGATCTATACAAAAAGAATAAAAACCGAGACATTGTCAGATTGTTTTGAATTAAAGCAGTAATAGAATACAAGCTTGAACTTACTAGTATGTCCCTCCTCTGGGGAAGTTGGGGGTGTTAAAGTAACTGAGGACATGGAGGGGTCTCTGTGCACAGCCTGACCACACATGGGTGAGGGGTTTGCCGAGGTCTGCGGAACCACCACTGGGAGGTCTGAGATGGGCAGAAGCACCAGACAGGCAGGATAGACCATCCGTACACCAGCTATGAAAGTAGATCAGTTGGTCATTACAAAATAACATAAGGGTTACAGTCCAAATATATTTTCTATACAAAGTCTGATTTGATATTCATAAACACTAAATAGATGTTTGGGCTCAAAATGTTTTGTTTAATTTACAATTGTGCATATACCAACTTCAGCACAAGATTTTGATTTGGGCTTCAGTAAGGTAGCATGTACTCAACAAAAAACATAACCAGTAAAAATGTCATGCTAGAAATACGATATTGGCGCTTTTCGACAAAAAAAACCGAGCATTTCTGTTCTCCTCCATATGAAACCACTGCATTGTATAAAATGCAGTCTGGATTCACACAGAGCAGCTGCTTTTGTAAACACGATGGGAGAAGCAAAAGGGATTGTACTTCAAAATAACTTTGCAAAAAAGATAAAACTGACTGACACATTGTAAAGAGACAAAATGCAACAAAACCAAGCGGTATATGAAGCCGTTTGCCGTATCCTGTTACAGCTTAAGACAGTGAATGGATGAAAAGAGCATTACTTGCACTCATGTCACAGCTATGCAGTTCTGAATATAACCTAATGCAGCAACAATCAACATAAGCACAAATAACCTGCGTGGTTGTGTTTGTTTGGTCAGAGCAGTTAAATACAAGGCCAGGATCTAGGGCTGTGCAACTATTTGAAATTTGATTACAAATTTTGATCACAAAAAGGCTTAATAGGGGAAAAATGAATATTGCGTATGCACTTGCAAACCTGTCCCCTGCTCCCCTCAGTCCTGCCCCTCTCATAGCTAAAGCCTCTGGGTCTGTCTGCCTGCAGCCAGCTGCTGCAAGCTCACAGCAGAAAGAAACACTTCTATAGCGCTGCCCTCTCTGATCTGGTTCGTGTTCATGAGAATATCCACACTCACAGGATTTATCAGTCTTTATCTCACTCACATTGGAGTTTTGTTTCACATGTTTAGCACAAGCAGATCACAAATTGGAGCACATAAGCGTCTTGACTTCTGTAAACTTGCGCCCCATTTTCTCTAGTTAACCCCAGATGATTGAGAATAATTTTACATAAACCTTCTAATCGAACTCCATGTTGTATCCAGCAGACGACAGAAGCATGTGCTATTCTCTCATGTTGTTTGTATTAGAGCTAATGCTAACACAAAGCTACCTGCTGCTGTTACTCTTGTTTTAAACCACAGTCACAGAAAAATACTGCGCAAAAAAAAATAACAAAAAATCACCCACACAAATAAACACTGCTGGCGTGATAAAAATAAAATAAAAAAATCAGCCTACAGTTCAAATTAGTAAATAAACCTGCTTAATTATACATTTGGTCACACATTATACAAATAATTATCTTGCAGAAGGGCACATATTTCAAATAAGCAATTATAAATGCATATTATTGTACATTGGATAATGTACGGGTACAATCCTGTGTATTTACATCTACTGCTGTTCATTTATGCTCACTGTTCCATTATAATGATAAAAACAATCAATTTGATGTGTGAAATCTGAGTGCTCATTTCCTTCTTTCTCTGCTGTAATGTGCGCAACGTTGACACTGAAATTTCTCCACTGAGACGAATAAAGGAATATCTTATCTTAAAACAAAAATCTCAGCTGCTTTTTTAACTCATTTAGTTACTCATAATATTACACATACAGGGGCAACAACAACCTGCCAATCTATCAAACTGAGAGGAAATACTGAATAATGAGCAAAAACGGACAATTCGGTCTGGACAATTGTTTCATTAAGTACAAATACTACAGTCATAATACTTACCAACCAGGACCTCAACAGCAGCCAGAGAGTCATCCTCCCAGTCTCCCTCCTCCATCTTCTCTTCTTGAAAATCCTTGGGTTTGGGACTGATGGGGTAAAACTGTCTCCACTCTTCAATGAGTTTTTGAGTGGGATGGTCTGACATCTTAAAAGCTTGGCCAGTAAGAGTCCCATTTAAACCATAAGGACTTAAGATGACTGCAAGAGGAAGGAAGGGAAATTTAAGTGAGTTGGAATTGTAAAAGAAATGTCGTAAAAGTAGCATTAAGACCGCTCTAACCTTGCATTGGACTGGAGCTCTGCTGTGCAAGGCTGAGGTGCTCCTCACTCAGCTGCTGAAGTGGCTGATGTTGAGCTATCTCCACACTTGTGCAGACATTGCTGTCACCATGCACGAAGAAGGTGAATGCGCAGGACAGGTGCTCACTGAAGAAGAAAAATAATGTAAATATAACAGAGGATGTATTCATCCCAGTGCAGAAATGTCAGTGTTACAGAGCACAGTACAAAAACAGTTCGTTTCTTGACATTGCATACCCCAATGCTGGGTTCATATGATGCTTTTCCCCAATACCCCTGACCAGAATACAATAGAATCCCCAAATCAATTTGAATGTGTTAGAAGTTAATCCATGTTTGATTCATCCTGAAAGCAGTATCCAGCATAAAGTAAAAAAATAAAGTTATAATAATAGTAGCCAATGCTGTGTTGTAGAAGGTCCTTTATTTGTCCCACAATGGGGAAATTTCAGTTTGATGCATACACATATACACATCAAGGCAAGCAGCGAACATTACTTCCACGCTCCTTATAGGCAACGTGGGCCTATAAGGGGCGCGTTGTTGTGTCCTTGGGCAAGGCACACAACAACAGCAGAAATCAGGGGTGTCGGTTGAGAAAGTCTCGCAGTGGACTCAAACCCACGACCTTCGGGCTCAAAAGCCAATGACCTACCAACTGTGCTAATGTCGCCACACTGTAGAAGTGTTTCTCACAAACGCACGTAAAACTGACGGTTTATACACACGGGAAAAAGAACAGGACAGAAACAAAGGAGTGGTGAACAACCACATGTGCTTCATGAAGGGTGCAATACAGAGGCCTTGACATTGTTAATATTATGAGAGTGAAAATGTGATCGATCTGATTGCCACATTTTTCACATTTATCCAAGATAATCTGATCGGAATTCTTGCACCTCAACTAGTTCTTTTGAGGTTTTAAAGTTGCATTGTGGTACAATGCATTGTTACCCCTCTACTGGATTTCATTTTCCTCTCCCTTTTTTTAAGAGTAGAAATGCTGATGTCTTGATATATATTTGCCCTTTATATTAATTGGTCCTCACAATTTTTATTTTGGCCTTTTTTCTTAAGGGCCACATAAGGAATAGACATCTGTATAGTGAAAGCCAAATGCTACATTAAAATCACAGCAGAATGGGGTATTACTCTACATGCGTGAGGCTTTTCCTTCTTCATCCTTACAAAACCACTCAAGCCTTGTTGTTAGATTTGATAGGGAGCATTTGTGATCAGCAGTTTTAAAATGTTCACTAGGAATTAGGTATGGTCTTTGACTGGGCCCTCCTAATGGTCGTTTTGTTCTAAACTATTCAAATTGCATGAAGAGTCTTTGTGTTTAGGGAATTAATCCTGATGGTAGGTAAACATCCACACCAGCTTAAAGTCATTTACTGACTCCAGCAGCTTTTCTTCCCATCAACTCTCACACACTGCCCCTGCTGAAGAAAAAGGAGGCCCACAATGTGCTTTCCTGGTTCGGCCTGTGAGTTTGGGGAGACAGCAGAGTTTTGGTAGATTTGCAGTGGTGCTATACTCTACTATTACAAGATTGTTTAAACAGTGCTCTGTTCAAAGCTTGAGAAATATTTGTATAACGTAACTATGATTTATACTTATCCCAGACCCCTTGTAGGTTCCTTAGACTTTGTGATGCCGTTTAATGACCAACACATTCTAAACGTATTTCTGAGGCCATCACAAAACAGCTGTAATAATACTGGTATAGCACACAGGTGGATTATTTAAATCATTGGAGCAAGATACCAGTACTCAGTCATACAGATATTTTTAAAGTGCTGAACAATCACTTTTGCAAATCCCAAAAATTATGTTATCTTTTAAATGCCATGATCATGTTTGTTTTCATGTCAGTCAGCTGTTCCTTTTATTCCTTTTATCAGTAAAAAATCCAAAATACAATTTTGATGTGACAAATGCGCACACTTTCTGTGGCCCAGCCTTACCCGTATTTGACCAGCCCTATAGTGTGGAGTTTGTTGTGTATGTGTTTTGTTAAATACCAAACTGAACACTTGAGACATGTGCCCATCTAAAGTGGTGCAAAAAAGCATTTAGGCCGTCAACTGTGCAAATCCTCCCACTTAAAACAATGCAAGATACCTGTAATTTCAATTATATGTATAACTCAACTAGGAAAGAAAAAAATAGAAAACGAATCCAGAAAATATAAATTTGCAACTTATGATGGAAAATAAGCCATTAGTCAATAACACAAGTCCACCTCAATAATTTGTTATACACCTTTTGTTAGCAAAGACAGGGGTCAAAAGCTTTCTGTAAGTCTTAAAGCGTTTTTCACAAGACTGCTGCTGGTACTTTGGCCCATTCCTCCATGCAGATCTCTGCTGTCGTTAGGTAATACAGACTTTAAACCAAAGATTTTTTATGGGGTCGAGATCTGGAGACTGGCTCGCCCACTCTGAAAGACCCAACAACGTTTCATCTTCAATGCCCTTGCTGATGGAAGGAGGTATTCACTCAAAACCTCACTTAACATTGTCCCATTCTATAATTCCATCACATGGATCCACCATCCTGGTCCATTTGCAGAAAAACAGCCCAAAAACACGACGTTTCCATCCCCATGTTTCCCAGAAGGCATGGCGATCTTTAGATGGAACTTTGCATTCATTCTCCTCCAAATGTGGCAAGTTTGGGCGTGGACATGTACCAGCTTAAAAGGGAAACGTCTGACACTGCATCCAAAGAACACCATACCTACTGGGGAGCATGGGGATGAAAACATCATAGTTTGGGGATGTTTTCCTGCAAAGGGACCAGGATGATTGATACATGTAAAGGAAAGAATGAATGTGATTATTGTGAGCAGTAAGGGCATTGAAGATAAAACGTGACTGGGTTTATCAAGATGACAATGATCCCAAACATAGTGTCTGGGGAATAAAGGAGAAGCTTGGTAAGAAGCCTTTCAAGGACCAGGAGTAGCCAGTCTCGAGATCTCAACCCCATAGAAAGTATTTGGAGGCAGTTGCACAGCCCCAAAACATCACTGCTCTAGAAGAGATCTGCATGGACGAATGGGCCAAAACAACAATGTGTGAAATCCTTGTGAAGACTTACAGGTCTTTTCATGATAAAAACTACAGGCATCAATCATCTTAACTGGGAGGACTTGGTGGCTGACTAAATACGTTTTTGCCCCCACCGTTTAAATACATATTTTCCTCGTTAGACTTATATTGCAGATTTGCTCATTAGTATTAAAACATGGTACATTAAATGTTCAAAGAATCATAAATGGCAATACATTTGCAGCATTCATTTTGTAATGAATAGTAATTTGAGCTGCAAGTGTTGAATTAGTAATTTAATTGAAAAATAGCCAAGGTACATTAACAATTCTCACAACCAGCCAATTTTAGCCACACGCAAGCTTCTTGTGTTTACATGGTGGATATCTCAACTAATACTAAGTATTAATGGGTTCCACACTCTCCTATACATCAACAAGCATCTCTGCTTAGCTCTGCTTATTCTGTATGAGTAACCATGGGAACTCATGCTGGGTTCACGCACAGTGAAAACTTTTAGGCCAATAGAGCACTTACTAACCAACTGAAAATAAGTTGAATAGATGTAAAGTAAAACGGTTATCTTGTGACAGAAAAATACTATATAGATTTGAAACAAAACTTTGTTTAAAATGTATTAATAAAACTTATATTTGTAATTTCCTCGGCTCAGTTTACTTGCAATGTGAATGCTCGGGCTTTGATCTTTCATAAATTCAAAAGTAACGGCTGACTTTTAAGTGAGGGTCGGAAAATGTAGGGGGGACCAATCATGATGCAAACACCCATGTGGGTTTCTTTCCATCACTTCTTTCCTTGGCTTTTTATTGGAGAATTTGACAAACGGTGCACTGCTCGCAGCTTTTCTACAACGTGTCAATTCCACAGCCAAAGCACATGTTTGTTCTTTGGTTGTGTTTGTACACATTTCTCTTCTTAAGTCATGTTGGTCACATTTCAATGTGGCGACGCTTCAATCATCATCCACATCTATCCCTTTCCCCCAAAAAAGCAAGCCACTTAGTCACGCCCACATGATGTGGTTTCCATGACGACAACGTTAATCACAGGAACGACTTAAATGAATCAAGAGTGCATTCCAAGTGTTTCATAATTCCAGAATCTGTTAAAGTTAAATGCTTTTAAAAACTATATGAAATACACAGTATGTATGTTACACCGTCCATATTCCAAATTTAGCTCTTATTTGGGCCACGACTTGAGGAAATATGTTGATAGTGGGTCCAGACACTGCTCCAGTTGAGAAACACTGCATGAATCAATACAAATTTGCAATTTTTAACACATACCTTTTATTGAGTGTCTTCTCATCCTTCTGGTATGGCTTTACAAACCACTTGCCAATACGCACAAAACCTCTATTCATGAGGCAACGCTCCAACAGGTTATGGATGGCTTTAAACAGCAGCGTACGACACTCATAGGACAGGCCACTCTCCCACTCACCATCCTCTTCACCTAGATCCAGAGAATTAAAAATTACTACATTTACATCCGATTTCCAAAAACAACATAGGGAAGGTAAAACAAACACCATCTAGACAAAACTCAGATGATTTTATTCAGGATACTGACACTTAATTTTTACTTCAACAAAGACTGCATTAGTCAGAACTCGCACTGTGAAAGCAACCTGTACTTACTTAAGAGCTCATTGTGAATAAGTTCAGCAAAACTGGGGTCATCCCCCCACCAGAACAGCCAGAGCTCTCTGCGACCAGGAGTGTGATGCCTTCTCCACACACTCAGGACATCTGCAGCCAAGCAGCGACTGAAGCTGCATAGGATGGGATCCTCTTCGGTGACAGGGAATAGGATGGGTGAAGATGTGGGCCCTTGCCACACAAAGCGCCTCCATTTGATTCCAGTCAAATCAGCCTTTACACAGTAAAGAAATATTGTCAGAGCAGGGACATTTATATAATAAAGCAGCAGTTACTGTCTGCAGTGAATTGAACTAGAGCTGGGTATAATTAAATGTAGATACAACTGGAAAGTTTAAATGGCCTATCAACCCGATTCAAAGTCTAGGTACAGTAATCATCACATAAACTGTACACCTCTTCCATTTCATATCATGTGAAATGTGCACTCCAATTCTGTTTTTAGCATTTTAAATAAATGAATGCAGTTAAAGTTGACTAAATAGGTACTGCCTAGGTACCCATACCCCCCAGACAAATAACTCCCAAAAATAATTGCAGCACTGGCATTGGAAAATTATTGGTTCCAAACTACCAATATTTTTCAGCTGCAACATCTAGCATTAAAACAACTCGACTATTGTAGTAGATGCATACTTTTCTAGAGAGTCTGCATACATAAACCTGTTCCATAGACATAGGTTGTCGGACTATTATGAAACAGGCTGACTGACTTAGAAGAATACACCATAATGCATAGACTTCAACTGTGTTATGGAACATCATAAAGCTGTCATTTTGAACTTTACAATATTATACTGTGTTGTGTTGCTTCGTATTTTGAGAGTTCTATACATTACTGTTTGCAAGTTGCAGGGCCAATGCCTTTACGCCAGAATGCACTGACGTTATAAAGCTTGTTGCCTGATTAGCCAAAATGGCTTTCTGGCCTGATTGTGAAAGCTAGCGCTAGCTGAGACTTACCAGGCAGAAGAGGTTGGAGTGGCAATCCTCCAAACTGGCCCCGTTTGGTACAAAGCACGAAGTCATCCTTTCACTGCGTGGCTGGATTCTTTAAGTCCATCGTTTCAATCACTATCAAGGGCAATGACCGGTCCCTTTGTGTTGCGTTAAGCCACTGTTTGGTGCGAGTTTCTAGTTGAAGCGCTGGCCCAACTTCGGTGCTAAAGCTAGCGCTGTTTATAGAGACAACTTCTAGCCGGGGCTAGCCTGTGCTAGTCTAGGGGCTAAGCTAACAGGCTCCGATAACGTTAACCATGGGCTTCTAGCTGTTCATCAATCCTGTTTGAAATGTATTGTCTGATCAGGATAGCTACGAGCCTGTCGCTACTGCTACATAACGCTCAATCAAAAATCCAATATCCAATCGTAACAATCTAATGATGAATCATATCAATATGGAACAGTAATTGCGATCAAATGTAACCCCCAAACTAAAAACTTTACCCCCAAATCGTGTAGCCCTCTTATGCTAATAGCATTAGCACAAGCTAGCTGGTCTGAAACAATTTCAAAGCAGAGGAACTCTCCCCTCCCCCTGAGCTCTAGCCCGTTAGCACAGAAGCTAACATACCAGAGCTCCAGCGCTAGCTGCTAGCTCAATAAAACAATTAGCTACACCGCCCTCCTTCCTATTAAAATCATCACAGTACCCAGACATAGTAAAACAAATCATAAAACAGCGGATGTTCTGAATTTTCCGGGCTACTCATCGTTCACGCTTATCTCAGTGATCCATAGCTCCTGCAGATTTCCATTATTTCAGTTCATGGATTGAATTCTTTAATGGCGGCCAGGAGGACAACTCTGCCTCTCAACTCCTATTGGCCAATTTGCTGTAATGGGGGCGTCATCCGGCTTCAAGTAGCTCCATGACTTCACAGTTTACAAGATGAAAGCTCCACTGCATCTGTCATGGTTTAGTGCGCAATGATAGTCTGTTTCTAAACATGTACCTCGGAAGTTTTCACCATCAATATTTTTCCAGAACAATCTGAATTTATGATCGGTCCAAAAAATGTCTTAATGATTTTTTTAATGGAGTAAAGCCATGGAATTTTGGGACAAAATCATAGACAAAAATGTTATAATTTTAAAGAATATATATATAATATATTATTTACACTGAAATGTGACTACTGGCTGAACACATTAAACTCAACTAGGTATAACTTTACAGACAAGTGCATTTTTATTTGTTTTTACATTTTGAAAGTTGACCTAGACTTTGTTGTTTGTGTAGTAATTTAGATTTTATCTAAAATAAAACCGAGATACACAATAATTAACATTTATCAGTACAAATAATACAGGACATTATTTATTTATTTTGTGTCATAGTGGGAAAGTGGGCGGAAACTTTGTGCAGAACATCCCATCGGGGGCGGGACCATGGGCGGGCCATGGATGCACCCAGAATGTCAACAACATGCCGCCGCCACAGTCCTCAGCAAGAAAAGACACTGAATACAGCATGACTGACAGACAACATGAAGACAGGGAGTCATCCAGGAACATCATAACCATATGTTCTCAATTTGCAGATGATCATTTAACTCTTGTACGGGTATGTTTCACGCTCACACATTAAAACTTATATTACATTAAAACTACGAATTATGGCTTCCTGCTGCGACACTTCTTATCGTCAAGTTTCTTGCCTGCTCTGTTGATTTGGTTGTTCTTGAAAAAGCTTGCTGACTAGACATGGTCTTTCTACAATGTTTTTTTTTCCTAAAGGTGTTCATGCACTGTCTTCTGTATATTGATATTCAACCAATTCTCTCTTCAGAATCTAAGCACTGGGTTAGCTGTGGCTGGTGTGATTATCATTGCCAGAAGTATAAAATTGGTAAGAAATCCCCAAATCAACTATGATATGTTTTTAACCTCACGTTTGTACCATCATTGGTGACGGCTCATAAAAACAAAAATAAGAAGGACACCACCTGCAGGAGGATCAGTGAGGGGCTGGTGCCATGTGTACTGGGTGCAGCTCCCCAGTACACATGGCACTGTGTACTGGGGACCCAGAAATGGATTAAGGGGAAGAAAATGGATGGATGGATGGAAGGTTCTCTTCAGGGATATAGCATAGACGACGACAAAAAATAAAACAATTACATATGTTTTCTCACTCTTTGAGAAATACAATATTGAACTATTCTTGAAACAAAGGCTCCAGCAAGTTAATTGATTAATCACAATTAATTGATTCATTAAAAAGTTCTCTAATCATTTTGCAATGAATTGTTTTTTGAACCTTACATACACTTAAACATGCTGAAATTAAGTTTAATAACTCAGATAATTCAATAATGACTGTAGAATGAAATGGCAATGTGTTTACATTGTATTTCATTTTTCTGTTTTTACTGTGAAGCGCTTTGTGGCCTGGGTCTGTGAAAGGCACTGTATAAATAAAGCTTACTTACTTACGGCCAAGATCTTTTATGGTCAAATTAATGAAAAATCCCATCAGCTTTCGGGATCAAACATCAATTGATTAATCAAAAGCATAATCAGTCAACTAATTTAATATAAAAATACTACTTGACGTGACGACAGGTAGAGATGCATCTGGGGTTACAACACCACCTTAGTTCCGCCCCCTCCTCAGCCATGGCAGATGGAAAAAAAAAGGGCAACCATTCTACAGTTGGTCTAACAAAAGTGTACTGCAGTTTACACACAATCTCATAACTTGTGTTTACCTCAACAGGTGACCAAGTTTCATGCATCTTCTCAAATTCCACGGCATTTTGTGGAGAGGAACCTTACGCTTTATGGAAAGGTTGATTCTGTCACAGAGAAAGGCCTTAGAGTGGAGCATGTCCCTGTGCATTTGCCCATCATCTCTCCATTACTTCACCTAAAGGATAGTAAGTAACAAAAAAATCCCCAATCTAATTATTTGCATGTATGTGAATATGTTTTGTGTTTTCTTATACTAGTTTAAATTTGTTTAGTATCTTGCAAATAATTTCCCAAATAACTTTATGTTACTAGGTTTTGTCCAAAATAAGTTAAATAATTGTGCTTCTTTTTTTTCAGGTACTTGTAAAGGTTTATTGTCAGTACATTTTGCTGGAGTTGAGCTTACAGCAGAAGGCAGGCAATGGCTTCAGGAAAACTTGCTTCCTGCTAAAATGGTTTGGATCAAATTAATCAGCCAAAAAGACGACATACTGTATTGCCTTGTGTCCCAAAACAAGGTACTTCATGGCATTGTACCATGGGCAGTCAAATGTGGGGTGTCTCAGATGTTGCACAACCTGCAAAGGAAAAAAACCCAACAAGTATTCATCTAATTAGCAAACCTTTTGTATGATACTTGTAAGAAGAAGGGTCCTTTGAGGGGAAGGGGGCGGGTAAACTTTTTAAACATAATTGTAAAACATGTGTTTTAATTGGAATACGTATTCTGAAGTTCATCTATCACAAGTAAATGTACTTCCTCTCTTTCCACCAGGGGGTGCTAAGGACCTATTGTATAAATGAGGAGCTCCTCCGCCAGGGTTTGGCTCGCACTGCTCCGATCTCCGGGCTCCTTCCTGACTCCCGTCTTTACTGGCGGCTGCACAGGCGGCTGCACAGGGCGGAGGTCAAGGCAGAGAGAAAGAGCCGAGGCCTGTGGATGGAGGACAGCCTCTGGGAACGAGCAAAGAAAGCCCTGAGGGACAACAGAATCTTCAGTCTGATCCAGAAAGTTTTTAGGAAGACGTGAGTTAAGAGGAAGCATACAATGATAATACATATCTGGTTATATTATCTCATTAATTAATTTAGAATAACGTAAAGTAGGAACTTTTGGACTTTTAAAGTAGGTGTACTATGTATCAAAATGGAACATACACTTCTGTGTTGAATTTAAACATTTTTGTATGTACTTTCTCTCATGTTATTTGTTTATTAATTCTTAATAAACATTTTTAATGACAACAAATAAGAATATTATTATCACATTCACTGTTACTTGTTGCTCCTGGTTAGTGGACAATTTGATAATGATGTCTGCAGTGCTTGCCAGTACTGTATAGAAAGTATGCAAGAAGTAAGTTTCTATGGTTTTGTCTTCACAGACCAGAAGTCCATGCAAGCCCACTTGTGATGAGTTCTTTGGGGGTGCAGGGTGATCTTGTTCTGCAGCCAGTACTTCCAAAGGGCAAAAGAGAGATTAGCACAGAGGGAGGGAGGTCGGCAGGGTAAGAGGGGGATTTGGGGTTCGGACACAAAGGGGGCAGAGGAGGAGTCCCAGTGGAAGGGAAAGGAAGAGGGGAGAGGGGGGTTGATGAATCAGCGAGTCACCCTTTTGTTGTGCAAATGTTATAGTGACTGTTACAGCCTCCAGAGGGCTGTGATTGGTGGACTGGTTTAAATTGTAAAGTGCATTTCATGAGGATTGTTGCTGCCAGACTTTGAACTGTCAATGCGGGAGGAGTGGGAGCAAAGCTGTGGCTCAAGGAGAAGAGTCCTTCTGATAAAAAGATTATATTTATTATTGCTTCTCTGTTTGACAACATGTTTCCTGTGAATTACATCATTGTAGTGGTCAAATACTTGCAATAATGGCAAATATGTAACACAATTGCTAATTGGATATAAAGATATCCACAAATAAAGAAGCTTTAAAGTTATTTCAACCAATAAAACAAAATAATCCACACATGTTATTTACAGTAATAGGCTAACAGTACATTCTAGGATGAAACTAAGTTACATTACTACTAAGTTTAATATTATGTTTATACATCCAGGGTTCAATTCAGGCTTGCCATCCTCACTGTCTGCTCCACTTTGTGAATCCGTTCCAGGTTTTCTGGTGATCCTGGTTTACCAGCACTGGTGCTTTTTTGAAAGGGGACCTTGCTGCATGCTCTGCCTGTGCTAGTCACACACTGAAGTTGCTGGGACACTGTCTTGCAGGAACTAAACATCTACAGCTTGTGAGTTGCTATGGACTTACCATGGGAAGGACAATCCTGACACAAGTGACACAACTTCATGAGGGCAGGAGTAACCAAAAAGTGAGTTAATTTTTCCATGCTTTGTTACACATACAACACAACTTACATGGATGTTGTTCATCAAGTGTTGTTTGTATAAAATCTCTGTTGTATTTATTCTTGTATTCAGTTCTGTTCTTTAAACTACAGTCTGTCACTGTGTTATAAACACAGATTGTGATTAGCATGTAGTTGGTAGGGCAGTAACTACAGGAAAGACACAAGCTCTGTTGACAAACAATGACAACTCTTCATTTCAACTTCTCATGCTGACACTTTAGAATGGCATATTGTTTACATAAATGAATATATCATACTTAATACACACAAATACATAGGTGCCAAGTGAAAAGAAACAAAGTTTAACTTTGTGGCTGTTAAATGCAACATTGACACTTTTAATCTCTATATTTTTAGCTTTTAGGTAAATTTTGTATAATCACAGAATTTCACTCAGGGTGGACAACAAAGGCCTTTATTACACTCAGCCGGTAGCCATCCTTGAAAGAATGGGATGGGGCACTCCCCCATCTATCCGAGAGCATGGTCCTTGGGGATTTTTTGATTTAATTGAGTGGGTAGCTAGCTGAATGTGAGAGACAAAAGGATTTAAAGACGCAGCATGCTGCCACCACACAAGACATAAATACATATTAATAAATGTCATGAAATATTGTGACGGCCTTTTATTGAGAAACAATAAATCTACACACTCGTAGCAGGAGGTCTCATGTTCGGGGTCAGCTTGTTTGTGTTATTGCTCTGATTATTTCCCCAAATGGGCCACATATTTGCTTTCACCTACTGTCACCGTTAACAATCACTTGTGCACATTTGTAACACACAAACACACCCACATGTTACTGGAGTGTGTGTGGATAAGTGCATGTGTGTGCATGCGTGCGTGGAAGCTTTGGCTGAAAACTGACTCTCCTTGTTATGAGCCTGAAGTATTGTGAGCAGTGTTACGGCTTGCAAGTGTAGGGTTGTAGGAGTGGATACATGAGTCTTTGTGGGTGCTCTGATCCCTGGTGAATAATTCAAGTTTCTTGGTGGAAAGGGGGGCAGAGCAATTTAAAAGAACTGCTTTGTGGGTGCTATAATTTCCAATGTGTGGCAGTTTTTAGTTGTCTAACATACGACTTGAAACAAAAAAATTGAACTTGGAGACCATTTACAATTACTATCTTCTGTAAAGTAATATATAAAAGTGATGTCTTTATGGCCAGTATAATGCACAGTGTGTCAATGCATACTATAAAAGTTGTTAATAGAAGTGATTTCATTTATCAATATATACTTTAACAAACTAAACTATTTGAAAAAAGATTAATATTAATTGATGCTGTTTTTCCTCACTGTCACAGTTTCTACACAGTGTCACATATATTAATAAACTAATACAAATATTCAACACTCAATGACAAATAATTAGTAGAATGACACAAGAAAATTTGTCGACACCATGAATAAACACATCCCTCTGTTTTGCTCGCAGCGACCCCCTCTATTTGAGTGAAATGTCAGGAATTGCATAAAACTCTAATATTTACTATTTGCTGAAAGAGGGAGTGAGGAGTGTGCTCTTGTCTCCATGTGAAAGCACGTGTCTATAGCCACCAGTACACTCACTCTGTTTGCTGTCCGTGTTATAATTATCCAACAAACCATTTTGAAAGCTACTCATTGACTTAGTGGAAAAAGCAATTGGTTTGCGGCATTTGTACATGAAAGACTGAGGTCAGCGGCAGACAGGGAAGAGCTTTGTTTGAGAGGATGCAGAGGATGCCAGGTCAAGATAGAGTTGATTTATTGAGAGGCCGTATGATACTTGTGCCATTCATTACCTTCAAGTTATGCTTATTAAAGCCGGGGTACCTAACTTTCAAACCACAACAATCGAACTATGTCTTAAAGTTCATGTAAATAGTTCCTCGCTCTGAAAACAGTTTGGTTCCATCTCTGGTTCTTATCTCAAAACAAGAGACATGCATGGAAACTTTCATCTTTAGATCAGCTTTACCTCGGTTAATGTATGTTATGCTAAGTGTTAATCAGTAAATTGACAATGTTACATATTTGTGGGGGTGAGTTGAGTGGGCCTTGAGAATAAAACATGGAGAACCACTGAGATATTGATCCAATCAGCACTGTTACTTCACTTTCTTTTTAAACAAAATGCATTGAACATTTATTGTTGAATCCACAGCTGCCAATTTCTAACTGTGATGGAACTTGAATTCACAAACTCTTGAAAGCAGGTGTTGTAAAAGTGATACACGCGTGAGTCAGGTTAGCCAATCTTTTTTAGGTTCTTTTTTGGCTAATAAAAATGCAAGCTCAATTACCTGTACTTTCAAAGCACTTTTACATAAGAAGAAGTATTCTAAAGGCTCTACTTGTCTACTGACAAAAGGGTTGACAAAAGTGATTAGCACCCCTTAAAACAGGAGCCAACTCATTAATCATGCACAAGTCCTGTCCAATAGAAATAAACCATGGAAATTTCACACGCTATTGTACTTTGTATCTGCTGTCTAGCACCTGGATTGAAGAATCCATTGATCAACAAAACCAAATGGGTTGTTACAGAGTTCTGCTTTGAATAAAATGAATGAAAAGTAATGAGAATGCATTATCTGTGTTCACTGACTTTACTTGTTATTGATCCACCCAAATGGCCTAAACAAGCACAAAGCCAGCCTATTACCCTCACTGTCAATACAGGTCTGCTCTTTTGAATGATCTTATAGTACATCTGTAATATGTCTCTTTAAAGTGATTTTACTTCATTTTCATCTTACTAGTTTTATGCTTTGAATCAGTGACTTTTCTTGTGAGGAGGACTGGAGAGCTTTGGGTGTCGTTTAATTCTTGAGTTTGGACCAGTTATCAAAAGGGTATTCAATAACACTTTGAGAGATATGAGGATTTAATTTTACCTCACCATGCATACAATATATTGGAAATTGATAAAGTTAAAAAGAGGATTGGTATTTGTGATCATTCTGTTCCTAAACAGTCAACAGTTTTCTACTGATTTATTTTTAAGTTCCCCTCGTTTCCTCGTTGTCTGTTGGCACAGAGACGGAGCACTTAATTATGGCTTTGGCAGATGAGGCGTCTACTTGTGTTACCAAGTGTCAGAACAAGAACGTTTTAGCAACTGTGCAGGGTGGGGCAGGTCAGCCAGCACGAGATAACATCATATGTAATACATCTTTTTGCCTCTAAACAATCTGCATTTAAAAGTGAATAAGGAAATTTAGACATTTTTAGTGAAAAATATTTTTGCCAAAAATATTTTGAAGCATAAACTTGAAGCATAAAAATATTCAATAGACATTTAATGTGAAAGACACACACAAATGAACTCACAATCATGAAGTAAATTGAAATTCACAGAATTCTTTTGAACTCTTTTTCACATTCTTCTTTGCAAAACAGCTCAAACTAAGTTAGATATTAGACGGTGAGCGCTTGGGAACAGCAGTTTTCAGATATTCCACATTTTCTTAATTTGATTTAAGTGCAAGCTCATAGCTTTTATTTTCAACCATCATTGTCTTGCTGCAAGGTGAACATCAATGATCAACGTGTGATCATTCAGAAATCATCAGGCAACTTCTGATTGCACTGAGCGAAAAGGATGCTGTGCACCTCCCACATTTTATTTCACTTCATGATTGTGTGTTCCTTAGTGTGTCTTTGGCAATCGGAGAGAGAGAGCGAGTGCTGTCTGGGACACCCCTCTTAAAGTCGTAGCGCAGACCCTCAGCCAATCCAACCCTGCACACAAGAATTGTTAGAGCAAGGGGAGGAGTGCACGCAATCCCATACCTGGGCGCGTAACACACACAAATCTTCAACAACAATTTACTGAACGATTTGTAATGTATTGTCGTATTATCATACTTATACTACATTAATTATTACATTTGTATGGTCATACTGTACTTTGTTTTTGTACCTTGACTGTGTGAGAGCTGGTATGCTCTTTTTCACTGAGGCCAAACACATGCATGTGAAAACTAGTGATAGAAAAATACAGCTTTGAGAGCGAGGAACTAGTTTTGAAGACGAGGGATTTAGTAGAAAAGAAGCCCTGAGGACCATCAAATAGCTTATAGAAGTTTAAGATCTTTTATAATGACGAGTTGCTATTTTCAGAAAAGGGTTCAAGTTTTTCTAGGACACCCCTATAGTACTTACAAGTTGACCCCACTTTGAGAACCACTGACCAAGATGACATAATCAGGTTGGTTGATAAGCTTTGCTGTATGACACTTGTGCACTTTCAAACAGTCCCATTTTTTTTAGCATAGACTCTTAACAGTAGGGTGGCAAAAATGATCTTTTCATTCCAGCCTCAGGAGCTGTGAAAAATGTTTGTGATTTATTGAAACTGCCAGTAACTCCATCCAGCGCCTTGGGGATTAATCACTTCTGTCATAAACTGGTAGGTGGTCACAGAAGCGAACCCTGACCCATGCATAGACAGAAATCACATACAAGAGCCAGCTCCATGAAACCAACTTTCATTTCTGGAGGTAGTGTTGGGGTCATGTTATAAATCAGTGCATGATAGACAAGCAACAGGTGAGAACTCTGACAAATGATTTAGAGGAGCAGGAAGCGGAAAATTGCAAATCCGGTGAGAAAGGAGATCAGAAAGCGAGGCAAGGAAAATGGAAGTTAATGCTTGGAGAGGTCAGAGGGAGTCAAATGGGTGACCTGAAAAGGCTTATGTTTCTAAGGAAGTGAGAAATCATGTGAGGCTGGTGAAAAATACACAGGAAAATACTAACTTAGCATCTATAGGGTTGATGAACTAATTATTTAAAATGCCTTTCTTATTTCTTCAGAACAGTTGGACTGAGTCTGCCCTGTCTTCCACATCATGAGCTCCCGAGTGGTGAGCAGAAAAGGAGAGCCCCAGTATCGCCGGCACTTTCTGACCAACAACAGCATCTTCCAGGGTAAACCATTTTGTTCAGATTCGTCAAATTGTACTTGTAGAGAATAAACAGCAGAGGGAGACTTTTCCTCAACATTCATCTGAGATATAGCCTAAACAATCTGCAGACATTGTCTGAGCATTGTCTCTTACACTGACTGATTATATTTACATCAAACTTGTCAGGGTCTTATGCATTTCCCTCAGAGCACAAATGGTTGCAACACTATGGCTTTGATCTGAGGGTATAATGAGATTGTTGGTGTTGAGGCTGCTCACACTTCTGAAGTCCTTGAAATGTTTTCCTGGATGTCACAGCAACAGGGGAAAGGACATCTGCAGCCTGATGCCTCAAGTCAACGTTTTCATGCCCGTCTATTCTATAATAAACTTGTCACTCTGACGCGTGTGGAAGTGGGAGGTGTGGCATGTTTCTCTATGTTCCCCTTTATGGATTGTATAACTTTTTAATGTATGTTTTACTGCTGGGCCATGTTTATCATTTAGTCTAAATTTGATTGATTGATTGATTGAAATTTCCACCCCCTTTTTAATGAACATAAACAAATATTACAAACACAAGTCCAGGGTATAACAACCCTAAAATAATCAAAGAAAACTGTACAACTCAAGATAAAAAAATCCCTCACTTGTCCATTGAGCTCAATTGCTCCATGGAAGTGACCCACATATTGATGGTTTCTCCTGAGAGCCGTGTAATTGGGCTGAGGAGAGTTCCAAATATGTTATGTCAACAAACTAAGATCCACTGTCAATGGCCAGAGAATGAAGGGGCTTCCACCTTGTAGCAACCATTTTTTGGCTGCTGTAACCAGTTTAGTTCTTAGGTTACACAGTATATTTTGCAAAGTGTGCAGAAAACGCGTTTGAGTAAGTCACAAAACACATCAGTGTTGTAAAGCCATTGATTGTGATCTTTATGCTCCATGCTTGCACTCTCCCTATAGTAAATTCCACACCACACTGTGTCAACATCTTAAATAATGTTTAAGACTAAAGTTTACCTTTGTTTGAGTGCCCCTGGAACACAACCTGAATTCGTCAGGATTTATGTTATCTTTGTTAATTGGTATCTTGAACGCTGATTATCATGCAGGTGCATGTTGACCGTTCTCATTCAAGAAATCTCAAACATGATGGTCTGTTATATACTCCATGTCTCTTTGGGGTTTTCTAAAACTATGCCTCATTTGATCTGATGTTTCTGTTTTGCTCTCTGCTGGCTCCTTGGTGCATGTTTCCGTCTTGTGTGAGTGGCTTATGGGCAGAGGGTGGGTTCTGTTTGACCATGGTCCATAAATCACTTTGGTGTGAATGTTTGAAGAGAGAGGGGCAGCTGACTGTGATCAGGGAGGTGTGGAAGAACTGTTCCTTTATAATGCACTTAAACTTTGGCTCATTTTCATTGCATTTTAAAGCTGGCGTATACCTAACTGTTTTCCAATAATGATACAAAGCAGAAGGTGTTTTATAAGATGTGGTTTTTGTGAACAAACACAACAGACACAACCAGCTGTTTTCATCTCATTGGAAAACATGTTATATTTTGCATAATAAGAAAGAGCTTGGAGTCACTATTTTATGATTAGCTCATTGACTGAGAGAGGGTGGTCCTTTTTCTTTTTTGTTGAAAAAAGCCGTTCGAAAAACATAAAAAGAAGCAATAAAATCACCTCCTTAGATTGACATAGCCATTCGGACAGGTCAGCTCATCGCTATGGTGATCTCTGCCTCGTGTGTGTACGTGCTTCTGTGTCTAATTAATGGACCCCTAAAAATGCGATGTTAAATGTTTTCATGTGCACCACTGGACGACAACTGACACGAGGAACTCCCAAAGGGCAAAGTTTTACTGGTCGGAAATGCCAATAGTGAACGATGCCTAGTTTTTGAACCATGCGCATCACAGACCTTTCATGTTTAGATGAAGCAGTGTCTCCTGCTCCATGAAGAATCCCATTTACGCGCCAGAGAGAGAGAGAAAGAGAAAGAGAGAGAGAGAAAGCGTAAAGTGGGTCATAGCGTTGGTTTTTCAGCACATTGACGACTTCTTCTGCTTATAAGAAAGTCGAGGAGGCGCAGACTGAGAACCCATGAATTTTTTTTCGGGCGGACATGGGAAGCGCATGCAACATCTTGGGGCATTTCCGTCACCTATTGCCGCGCGTAAGCTCCTGCATTCCAACTAGTACCCAGAGCGCGTAACGGAGCTGTTATTATTCAGCCAACCCATGTCTCATGCGTCTGGATAGAAGGACTGGGCGCTGAAGACTGTAGTGGTCTGTGCATTCTCTCAGACCAACAATCAAAAGCACACGTGAAAAGGCGCAACCTTTTTTTGTTTTGTTTTGTTTTGGCAATGAAAAACTATCAATATGGCGCGCTTCAATTGAACATGCATTATATGGCATGTAACAACACCCAGGCTACCCATAGCGCACGGACGGATACTATGAGAGAAGCGACCCCTGGAATAAATGGCTGAACTTGAAGTTTGCAGAAATCTCAATCTGGAAAAGGGTACGATTCTTAAATGATTTGATTGTTTAATGTGGTTGGAGATGGAAGCCTACACTGAATGCACGTATTTTTTTTCTGTTTCAAATTCAGCATTATAGACTACATAATTGCTTTGCTTGCTATGATGAAAATAATCATGTCTAAAGACAATCCCATGGGAAACTGTCCCTGGTGCTGAAAATGTCCCTTGGTGTTTGTTACAAAGAGGTAGAAAAGCCTATTTTGTCTCCCTCCGGCTTTCATATATAGTGTATTTTTAACCTATAATTCTTAAAAAGCGTGAATGCTGTTTAGATTAGATGTGTTTAGTCAATGGAAATATCCTTGCCACTATAATGACAAGGCATAGACTTGCAATACACCAAGACCAATGGGTAAATCTTGTCATTCCCAGTGAGTGTGCCCCTAAAGTGCCAACCAAAGGGACTCAGTGATGGTTCATTCAAAGCATGGATCTTTTAGATTTAAATGCATATATGAAAGGAATGCCTGCTTGTTCCAAAATCGATTTACATTTTCTCACTATAGCTTTCCTCTCCCAACTTCGTGTCAGTGAGTGGGTTGCACTTAGACACAGAAAACATGTGTGCACTTGGTATGTGTGTATATTCATGGGTTTGTTACTGTAGTAGCTGCTGTAGGCTTTTATTTCTTTGTAAGTTAGTGATGTGCTGATGAAATGCATGATTTCTGTTTGGCTCCAGGGCAGAGCTGCTCAAACACACAAGGGGACAACTCACATTTGTATCCTGCTCCTCAACTCATCTCATTTTCTGTTCTTTGCATGATGGACATTTACATAATAGGCATATGGCTTCAGTGCTATTCTAAACATGGACACATTTAGATGCTGCATATGTTGATTCTCAGTAGGGATAACAAATCAATGACAGTTGTATTAAATTGACCTCCAGGCCTTAAATGTTGATATAAAATAAGTAATTTTATTAATTCTAACATTATGGATAAGTCTCGCCTTCCCTTCTCTTAGCTATAGCTCAGAATCCACGATGCCGTCAATGTTAACCAATCAAGTGATGCCAAGGGCTGTCAATCATCGGCGCTGATGCTCGTAGCTGCGCGCATGCTCAGTTGATTGTTTTCGCGGAGCCTCCGAATCAAGCCTCCATTAGGCTCTGGAACTACATGAAAACTGAACAAAGAATTCTGAACATCCGCGCTGAGTTACCCATTTATATACTGAACCTATATCCATAATCAGATCCTGAATCAGATTTGTCCTATAATGTATAATAGCTACTTCCAGGTTTGCCGCAATCGCTTTTTTGTGCATTAAAACATTATTTTTTTCATGAAAACGTTAACAAATAATTCTGAAAACCTCCGTGCATGTGTATTAATAATGTATATGTATAATGTATTTTCCGATTAACATTTAAGTATGTTACGGAAACGTAGGTGTAGACCAATCAGAAAGGAAGGGGGAGGGAGCTTGCGTCGTTTTTTTTCAAATCAAGCACCTCGCTCTCTTTTTTTCTGACAAATTCCAGACCATCAGTTTAAGCTTTGGATTTAATGAAAAATCGCTTACTCAATGATTAATACAAAATAAACCATTTATTGCAGCCCTAATGCCAGTTGCCATTTGGAGTATATGTTTAGTCTTAGGTTGTGGCTGTTTTGTCTAGGTTGAGTTGCAGATTAGACCTTTCTTGGTAAACCATTTTTTACTTTTATTCTTTACTTGCTCTGACAATTTTATGCAGTAAAGATTGAAAGTGGTCTTTGACAGAATCCAATATGGTTAATAACACTTCTCTTTATCAGTCATGGTCCACACTGATGGCGCACAGCCTGTTTTGCTGGTAGGAATTGGGTTTGAGAATCTATTGGTAAAAGCAAATGTGGCACTTTACTTAAAAGAAAGTATTTCTCCTTGAAGACCTATAGATTATCATAAAGCACCACCTGGCCAAAGTGCATATAGCGGCCTCCATACTTGTTCACATGTGTGAGAGTGAGAGGGGAGGAAAAGCAAATTACCCATAACCACAGCTTTTCCTCTCCTTATATCCTCTTGACAGCCTGGTCCTCACTGATGTAGGCCCACTTTGGCATGATTGGAATAAGCAGACAGACCATATAATTTAGACTCTGTAGAATGGTGGCTGGTTACCCTGCTGCTGAAGATACTACAGTATCCTAGTTTTTGTGTGTTGAGCCCAGAGCGGTTAAAGGCTCTGGATGTGCACACAGTGTTTCTCATGCACAGCGTCTTTGATGTGAGTATTGAACTGCTCTCAGGGAGCCCCTCACAGCATTGCTGCTGAATGCATTATTCTTGTCATGTGTTTATTTTTATTCAGATGAAACTCTCACTCTTCTGAAACCCATGAGTACATCAGGTGACTTGTTACCGCCATCAGGGCTCTTAAATGAGATTACATTAATAAAGTATTTCTACTTCAGGTTATCAAGGCTCGTCAGCCTTTTCACCAGCCTTGTCTGTTGTGCTGTATT